TCTGGAAGGCATTGAAGTAAGAAGTATCTAAATTAAGCAGTATATTTACAATTTTTTCTACATTGCATGTATTAAATGTCTACATAAACGTTTTTGGGTGGGTTTTAGACGTGCACAATGGCAGGCAATACCAAAAGGATTCTTTGAAAAAATTAAGATATAGTGATAACGGAATAGGTTATAAAAGGTATTTACGATCTGTCTGCATTGTTTGGGTTCATTTTTTAAAATATTAAAATACTAAAATAAGTTATTATCCCCCAACTACTATGATTTCCCAACTTATCAAAAATTATTTCAAACTGGCGTTGGAAGTTTTAATGTTGTAAATGATAAGTTTACAATCTTATATTATTTATATATTCATGTCTTATTCCATATTTTAAGCTGATTAGACGAAAATTGTTGTCTAAACAAATTGGTCAACTTAAATAGTTACCATTAAATATTTTCTGCTGTAGATCCATTGATCGACTGTTAGGTATATTTGACCGGGGCCGGTTTCCCATTTAGCATTCACCCCATTCACCTTTCCAGCCACCTTTTACACCCCGTTACCCGCAGAATGTCCGGTCTACGAGAAGCGATCATTTGTCTTGACTCGCCGTAAGTTCATCTTACCGATTCCACAGCAAAATACATTTTTACGTTTTTCAGAAGTAATATATATATCGCAATTTCCTCATTGGAGCAAATCTGCTGCTCGGTACATATCTTTGGACTATTTATCGTGAAGCTGATCGTGAATTAGATCAGAATTTTAGTGACAACTAGTGTACATGTTGCTCGAAATCGAGCAATTGCAAAGAAGTACAGGAGTTATTTACAAACAAATTACTTGGTTGAAAACTTATAACAGTCATAATTTCCAATAATTTTAAAAGAGCAAAAGAGCCAACAAAAAGATTATCAACCAATGGAAATACTTACAATTTACGTAACAGTCCTTTTCCATTTTGAAGGGTGAATTTTTGGGAAAAGGTAAGCTTACAATTTAAGGTCAACGTAAAAAGGCTGTCAGCTTTTATTAAGTACCGTACCTAAGTTATCTAGCCAATTTGTAGACAATAAGGTGTCTGCTACTTTAAACTCTACTGGACAGAGTTAGGCAATAACTGGCAGAAATCTGAAATGGTGTTATTTATCATAGGCTTAGTCATATGCCAAATCCTTAAAACTTAAAATAAAAATTTAATAACTAACTTATATCATTAAACACAAACCAACATCCAAAACTATACACATTTTTAATACAACTTCGATAATTTACACATTGACTGTTTACAACATATCTTTTTCTTCTTACTATTAATTTTTGCTTCGCAACGGGAAAAATTTGTTTCATAATTATTGAAATAGATTTATAATAATCTATCATATAGTTTAAGATTAAATAAACCTACCGCATAGTTTTTTTTTTTTTTTATCAGCTGTCTAAAATTGTGAAATAGACATTTGACAGTTCTGGTTGTTTACATTTAAATGTCAAAGCAAAAGTAAACATTGTGAATTTTCTCATGCTTCCATGGAGACCAATTATAAATATTTAATTTCTGACAACAGCTGGAGTTTCGAAAACAATTTTTGTTTCCCATGTTAATCTTATGGAGAAATACGAAACTTTAAAGGGCCCCAGGGCCTCACTCTCTAATTATTTCCCTAAAAAGAAAGTTTTCCTGCACAACTTCACGTTACGCTCTTTCCAATGACACCAAAAACATGTCAATCAGTTCAGTAGTTTCGGAGGAGTAATTGTCACAAAATTCCTGCTTGCGTATTAAATAAGTATAGATAACATAGAGTAAATTTCGAAACAATAATCTATAATATTAAAACGAAACAGTGTTTTTTTTATTTCACGATTCTGAATCAACCACTCGACGGATTTCCATGATTTTTGTGTTGAAAGAAAGATAATTTTGAGAACTAGGGAATGTCGAAGCCATAAATTTAGTTTAGGGTCCCAGTTTTTTAGAAATTAAGTTTTATTTTTTTTTAAGTCTAGCAGGCGACGCTAAGATTCTAAACTAGCTTTTGGCATAAAACAATTTGCTTAACATAACAGCTGTAAACATTCAGCTTTTGTGTCACAAATTCAGCATTTGGATAAAAATGTAAAGAGATACTTAGGGTTGACTTATTTATACTATGTGTAATGCAAATCATTGATACGTTCAATTCTTCTGTAAGAGAATGACAGATTAATTAAATTATACACAGTAAAATACTAGGATGTTGAAATTATTTTTTTAAAGCAATCTTTGTAATCTTCGATTTGTTTTAGAGCAATATAATTTGTTTTAACTAACAGCTGGTTAAATGTAAACTATGGAACTATGAGGTTATTTTATTTACTCTTATTTTGTCATTGATTATAGGAAATAAGTAAGATTAGTAGAGGATAATTAGACCACAGTTTAAAACAGTTTAGACCAAAATTAATTAAACCACAGTACAAATCGAGGCTCTGTACACGAGTCTTAATAAAAAAGGATAAATGCAAATTATTTTACTATTCCACTTTTCGAGGAAAGAATAGAAAAATAACAATGTTTACATGTTTTAATTCTTCATGGTAGCTTTTTGTTTACAATTAATGTTTGTCTGTTTTAATTTTGTTTGGATTAGGCCCGGAAATATTGATGTCATAAAAAGAAGATCAAGAATAATCAGGAATCACGATTTTAAATTACCACCACAACCTCAGCCGGGTTTTATACAAAGACTGTACACAACGTCAACATTGACCTAGGATACTGCAATTAGACAAACCATCCTTTTATGAAATCGTGTTCAGTGTGGTTCCGTTTGGGGGTGCCTATCAGCGTCCCCAAACGTGAAAACTATGAATATATTGTAGTTTAAATGAACTAATATGGGAAATTACGATGTACACTTATTCAATGAGGGTGGGTAATTATTAAGGATAGAACTGATAACGGTATGGATAATAAACATTGACAATTACGTCATTAGCTTTACTAGCGTGTATACGTTTTATATTCCTGCTACATGTGACCAGTTCTTTTAGTAATCGTGAGTTCTTTTTTTTTCAAATGAATGTTATTTGAACCAAACAGCTGTTTCAAAACAAACTGTTATTGTTTTTACTTTTCTTTGTTTACACTTATTTATTTAGCAATTAATGCAGTGAAATTGATATAAAGGATAGGTGTGACGATTTATGTGTACTGTGAATTTTATTGGATATTATCGTTTTATTTTAGGTCGTTTCTATTCAGACCTACTGGAAATTGTGTATAGTAGTTGTATTGTGGTGATAATAATTATGGAAGAGGCAGGTATGCTATGGAAGGTGGCATCGTTGACTAAGTCTATACACTTCTCAATTGACTATTACTCTCTCTACTGTAGGCTACTTATAATCAGTGTGCGTCTGTGAGAATCGGCTGCAAATCTCACTTCAACGCTTTTCACATCGTAAAAATTGCAGAATTGCTGTTTTATTGTAAAATTATCGGATTTAAAATGCATATCGTATAGGCCTATGATGGAATAAAAACATATTTGGTCACACAACATTTGTTTACAAGATGATTTTTCACATTAAAACTGCAAGAAACTTTGTCTTGATATGTGTAAACTAGCTGATCTGAATTGTACACGGTTTTAACTGACTACTGAATTCCCGTACGTAGGACGGGCTAACACCTCGTTTAAATAACAGAAATTTAAAAACTCATTTGCTGACTTAATTCCTTACCAACCAGTAAGAATACTGAAGCATGTGACAAATATCGGTAAACCACAAACTGGAGTTTCGCGATCCATGACATGTTTTGAACCTCCAAATGCCTGACACTTTTATACAGTGTATATTCCAACAAATGTTTGTTTCCTATCTGATGTCCAATAAGTCTTTTTTATTACAAATATCACTAAGTAAAGCAAGTTTGTTGTAAATTGGAGTTTGTCGTTTGTATTAATAAATAAATTAGTAAATAAATAAATACTGTACAGCAGAATCTTTGCTGTTTGAACACCTTTGGCGGGTAAAATTATTTTAATGAACATTTAAAAACGCAATCAGGTAGTTTATACAATTTCTAACTTTAATGGGGTAAGGTACTATATTGATCTAACTTGCATTTATTTCTGAATCAAGAGATGGACTATGTATTATTTATTTTGTATTGTAAGTGACTTAGCCTATTGCTTTGCTTAATGGCCTAATAAATCATCGAATCATTGAATTGAATCGTTGGTTTCATTTTGATTTTGTAAGCTACTACGTGATATGATTTGATGTGGTGTATAATTTTTGATTGAGCTAAACTAATTTAAATAGAAAATGGCTTTATTAGTTTAAGCGGCGAAGTATGGGCGGGTCATCTTTCTACTGAACATCTAAAATAGACAAAGGGAGTTGAGTTTGATAATAATTTTACCAACGACCGTTGTTTCAGTTCAATTCTTAGAATTGCAAAGTTTCTCATAACAGCACTTACATAACAGAACAGTTTTTGACTATGCTTTATCTATGGTTTTACTTAACAACGGGTAACGGACCAATGAAGTTGAAGGATTGAGAGAAGAAGTAAAATTGTAATGCTTCGAACGTCGACTAATCAGCTGTTCAGGTCAATTTAATTGTTGAGTGGTGCAATTAGTGTTTGGTACAATGTTTCGTTGCATCACTGTCAGTGGCAGTGAGAGGCTATACACGAAAACACAAACTCTCTTAGATGTTAAGAGTAGTGATTTTTAGTAATTAAAAAAACTGTCGTAGGTAAAGTAGTGTACGCAACTCACGTCAATAGTATTCTATTTATAACTTTCACCTAACATAATACACACCTAGTTATGTTATGTAACTTAGTAAAAACTATATCAAACATACAGTACCCTTAAAATAGAGTATGTGATAAATTACACATCTATGTTGTCAGATATCTCCAGTCTGAGTCTGAGTCTGTGACTATTAAATACAACGCTAAATCTCGAGCCTTGAGGAACGGGTTCAATCCCCACTAATCACCATGGAGCAGCCTCAAGACCCAGAGGTTCTGAACCACATGTACCAGCTGTCAAAAAGGGTGGGCATTAATTGCGCCAACTGACAAAAGTCAGGTAGTCGGGTATTCCTGAATAGCGCCAACTACTCCAGAGAACCCGATAGGTTCCTTAACCAAGCCAAGTGGCGGACTCTTTGACTGTATAATTGAGTAGGTTAGGTTAGGTTAGTTTAGGTTAGGGTAGGATAGGATAGGTTAGGTTAGGATGACACGTAATCAAGGACATTTCTTCTGACGGCAACTCACCCCTACCTGGCTTGGGGTTGGCGCAACTAAGTCAAATGTTTTAGGACTCTTTGAGGGCTCAGCGCAATTAAGGAACTCTTTGGCGCAATTAATGCACGACCGTCAAAAACATCTTTTATCTTACTTGCTAACCATCTAACCTTTGCATTCACCTTGGTCCACGATTGTTGATATCGTGGAGAAACAAAATTATCTTATTGTAAAAAATAATCGTACTGGTATATACACTAGGGCAGGACTAAATAACGTTTAGAGTGTCAGTAACGGAGGTGGTAGGAGGGTCGGTTAGTCATTCCACGCACACCGCCTCTCTAGACCATCCCTTGCTTCACCAACCCTTGAGTCGAATTATTTACTTTCAACCCGAGTGAAAGATAAATAGTTAACTGTCTGGTCAAAAAACGCTCTGTCAATAGTAGGGGTGGATCGCTTACCCAAAAACGTGTTAAAATCACTCTCATCTCGTCTAATGGACAAGAACAAAAAGGTTACTTAGATAAATAATTTTTGAACCAAACAAACCCGTAGTAATCGATTAATCAAGAAAATCTATTAAGAATTAAATAAAATTGTCACGATTTGACATACTTGTTGAAAACGTTGACCGATTGCTTGTCTTGAAAAATTATAAATTGTACCTGGTTGAAAATGTTGTTCAAATAGTGGTAGTTTTTGTGATACAGAAAGAATTCTCCTAGCCTAAGAGGCGTTTTTACTTTGATAAATATACGATTTCGAACCACCGAGGGATTGAATCAATCACAAATTTTGTGATTGATTCAATCCCTCGGTGGTTAATTTAATATAAGTTAAGTCTTTGATGGTATTTCAACCCAGGTTCCTATTCAATGATAGAAGTATCCAATCCATATCCCATCTATGGGCGTATTTTAAAACGTTTTTATTAGCTCGCTTTCTTGTCCGGTACAAATTTTGAAATCAATTTTATACTAATTTCCTGACGAGCTAGAGACTTGAAACTTGAAACATAGCTCACAAATGGAAGAAAATGAAATATTATATCATTTAATTTTCATATTTCCTTTGGGCTACACCCCATGGGCTTGTTTTTATTAAATCGCTTTCTTGCAAATTTTGATACTTCCCAATGAGCTAGAGACTTGAAATTTGAAACATAGCTCACAAATGGATGACAATGCAATATTATATCATTTAGTTTTCATATTTCCCTTGGACTACGCCCCATGGGCTTGTTTTTATTAGCTCGCTTTCCTACAAATTTTGATATCAATTTTAATCGAAGTTCCCGATGAGCTAGAGACTTGAAACTTGAAACATAGCTCACAAATGGATGACAATGCAATATTATATCATTTAATTTTCATATTTCCCTTGGGCTACGCCCCTTTGGCTTCCAAATTTTCCATGTTTATATAAAAAAAAATGTAAACATATAAATTAATTTAAGTCAGCTGTAAATACTTAAATTTGACAGTTAGAAGAGCAGAGGTTCAGAGATACAGGTTCTGCTCCCGAGATATTCTAAAAAGGTAAAATAATAATTTCAAAGTAAAGATAAAACATCTAATTACAGATAATAAGGTTTTGGGTTTTGGTTACGTATTAAGAGGCTATATAAAATAGCCTCTTAATAAAATGTATAAAATTTAACATATTTACATAGACTAAAAACGAGATAATAATTTATAAATAAAAATACTTTTTAAAAATGCCACGTTTTTAAACGCACTAAAAAGTATAAAATAATATAAACAATTTTGAGGGAATAAATACTTGTAAGATTTAAAACGATAAACGTGGGGCGCATGCAATAGATCATAATAGTTCAATAGGTGAATTTAATCGTAAATCATCATGCGCCCCACGTTTTTCGTTTTAAATCTTACAAGTATTTATTCTCTTAAAATTTTTTATATTATTTTATACTTTTTAGTGCGTTTAAAAACGTGGCATTTTTAAAAAGTATTTTTATTTATAAATTATAAAGAAAAAGAACGGTAAAGTGAGATTAGTTTTCATATGGTACTTTTGGCATTAAATGGACCACACCGATAAATCGACTTCCAAATAAGATTTTAATTAGTTTAAAAATAACAAAATCTACCTAATCTAAAACACAGTTTACCCTCAGGGTAGGTTAGGTTAGGTTATAATTATTAGGTGTGGTCCTCCCTGTTATTTTATAAAAAGTTCCTCTCCCAGCTGGTTTTTGTAGCAGATTTAAAAGATTTTCTAATTTCCAGATTCATATTCATAGAAAGGTACGGACAAATCTACTTAAATGAAAAAATTTAATAGTTTTGTAACGTTTCTCTACATCAGATATTCAGAACTACTATTGTCAACTCACATAAAACATGGTTCATAGTGTTAACTTCAGTTCCAAACTCCCAAGAGTAGTTGAAGCTGACAGATGATTCGCATGTAATTAGTTCACCTGTATCTCTGTTGCACTCTGGGAATGTTAAATCCCTCTGCTGCAACATTGCCGCAGCCTCCAACAGTAGGGATTAGTACACTGATACATAGCTGGATTACTCTTACTCGCGAAGACTTCAAAATGCTACGTAGAAAGACGTAAAGTATTACTGATATTAAATACACGCCAACGTCTAAATAATACATGTAGTCTAATGTTTGAAGTACGGTACTGAAGAGGAGCAACACTTTTGGATTTTTGAACTAAAAGAAGCTAAAATTTCCAAAAGCTTATGTACCGGTATCGGTGTGTGTTATGACTCCAAACATTGTAATTTACTTGTTTATGAATTGAGTCAATGTCTAAATTATACAGTTAGTCTAATGTTTGAAGTACTGAAGAGGGGCGAAAATTTTAAATTTTTTAACTAAAAGAAGCTAAAATTTCCAAAAGATTATAAAGGTACCGGTATCGGCGTGTGTTATGACTCCAAAAATTGTAATTTGTTTGTTTGTGAATTGATTCAATGTCTAAATGATACAGGTATTCTAATGTTTGAAGTACTGAAGAGGGGCAAAACTTTGGATTTTTGAACTAAAAGATGCTAAAATGTCCAAAAGATTATACAGGTACCGGTATCGGTGTGTGTTATGACTTCAAACATTGTAATTTGCCTGTTTAATTTATTTTAATCAAATTTGGTAATTCATTTATTCATTTCATTCTGTACTATTAAAACATTTTTTTTCTTCCTTCAAGTGGCAAATAAAAGCACACGTTAAATTATTTAAATAGGGAATGAATCTGACAATTATAAGGAAATATTTTAGTCGAAATCAATTCGCTAAGGAAATTCGCTTCGTTTGCAGGTTTGCTGCGACGGGAGATTACAGTTATTCATCATGAAAGTGTAGTAAATTGTAGACTACCAAAGCCTAAACTGCACGAGCTCAAAATATCAACTGGTCTTGGGGTAATGCCCTGTTATTTAATTACTCACATAAAGTGGTTAAAAGTTCCTTTCAGCCCCTTTTATCACACTTTCCTTACTTTATCAAAGCTTTTGTAAAAGCACTTTTGGGGCCGTAACAGCTAAAAGCTCAGCTTATTAAAGTAAGAGTTTCACTATGAATATTACAATTCAGCCTCGGAATCGGAAAATCTCATTTTCACTTCATAAAATTGAAATTACATTAGATTCAATTACAACAATGTTTTTGGTATTCACTTACAACTTAAGATTGAGTTAAGGAAATTCAGTAATTTTACAAAAATTGCCGGAAATGTTATGAACGACGAATCCAAGCTAGTGTCCTAGATTATGGGGTTTGTTTTGTGATCGTTTTCGGTGTGAATAAGTGTTAAAATATTCTCCTCACAAAATATTACTTTGAATAGATTTTAGTTCCAAAACAAATGCATTCTAAGTATCTAAAGCTGGGTTTTCCTAGGCGCGGAAGCGGAGAGCGGAGAGAGGAACGCGGAGAGCGGAATTGAAATTAACATGGCATTCCGCTCCGCTTCTAGGAAAACAGTAACATTAAATTTCCTAAGACAAGTGGAGTCCGCTCTCCGCGTTCCTCTCTCCGCTCGCCAATTCCGCGCCTAGGAAAACCCGGCTTAAAAAGTATAAACTAATACTTTTATCTCCGTTGTAAGTCAAGGTATACTTAACTTCAATAGAAGTTAACACAACTTTAAATTTCACGTTGTTATTTTTTTAACTTATTGTTTTTCTGGTGTAAAGTCTCCCAAAGTATATATTTTCCGAACAACAGAGATCTAAGCAGCTGATTAAATCACGTTTCCCACATTCACTACATTTGAATTTTGGTAACAACAGTATACACTTCTGTTTCTGATTGTGTGAAATAATAAATCTAAAAAGGTTTTTCAAACAACATCACTTTAGCTACTGTGTGAAATTTCAGCTAATTTGATAAAGTTGTTTTCATGGTGGAAAGACAAAATAGTCACCTTTGTAGAATATTTACAGCACTTTTTTTTGTTCGTCACAAATAAACAATAAAATAAAACCCCGTTTCCATGGTCCGATCATGCTGGTTCGTGAACTCGTTTGAATAAACTTAGGTACAGGTTTGTAAAAAATTTAATCGAAATCGGATAATTTTTTCTTAAATTATCGTGCTAACGGATACACATATATATCTACTTAAACGGTTGGTGTTTTCGCCTCTGGGGACATCAAAACGAGAAAGAAAATATGTCCCGGATCCAGGTCTTACCAGACCTACGATAATAGCTTAGCTTATTCCCTTTATGGGAAATTCGCTAAAACAGATTTTCTTTGCTCAGAATCAACCCGGAAACCTCCTCCTTCACTCAGCTACCAGAAACCTCATCCTTCACTCAGCTACCGGAAACCTCCTCCTTCACTCACCTACCGGAAACCTCCTCCTTCACTCAGCTACCGGAAACCTCCTTCACTCAGCTACCGGAAACCTCCTCCTTCACTCAGCTACTGGAAACCTCCTCCTTCACTCAGCTACCGGAAATCTCCTCCTCCACTCAGCTACCGGAAACCTCCTCCTCCACTCAGCTACCGGAAACCTCCTCCTTCACTCAGCTACCGGAAATCTCCTCCTCCACTCAGCTACCGGAAACCTCCTCCTTCACTCAGCTACCGGAAACCTCCTTCTTCACTCAGCTACCGGAAACCTCCTCCTTCACTCAGCTACCGGAAACCTCCTTCTTCACTCAGCTACCGGAAACTTCCTCCTTCACTCAGCTACCGGAAACCTCCTCCTTCACTCAGCTACCGGAAACTTCCTTCTTAACTCAGCTACCGGAAACCTCCTCCTTCACTCAGCTACCGGAAACCTCCTTCTTCACTCAGCTACCGGAAACCTCCTCCTTCACTCAGCTACCGGAAACTTCCTCCTTCACTCAGCTACCGGAAACCTTCTCCTCCACTCAGCTACCGGAAACCTCCTCCTCCACTCAGCTACCGGAAACCTCCTCCTTCACTCAGCTACCGTAAATCTCCTCCTCCACTCAGCTACCGGAAACTTCCTCCTTCACTCAGCTGCCGGAAACCTCCTCCTTCACTCAGCTACCGGAAACTCCCTCCTTTACTCAGCTACCGGAAACCTCCTCCTTCACTCAGCTACCGGAAACCCTTCCTCCTCCACTCAGCTACTCACTACTCCTACTCACTGTGTGTCTCTCTGCTACTACTCCCTACTACTCACTCACCAGAACCTTATTGTATCAAAACACTCTCGAATGAACATCAAATCCATGACGATGTGGATGGGGCGAGGGTAGTTTTGATCTATACAAAGCTTGCAACCACCTGTAGCGTACTGACTATTTGAATTCCATCACACGGTTGCCGAGCTTTGCTAGAATCTGTGTTAGATGGGGTTTAGGTCAATGGTTGCAATTAATAATGCTAAAGTACGAGAAAGAACTGGTCCATAGTAACGTGAGAATTACGTTATATTGGATAGTGTCCACGTAGAAATGCATTGTTGTAGCTGTATGAGCTATTAATTAACAGTCCCGTTTAATAAACATGTCGGCCTTAGTCAGTTACAAGACTACAACAAAATCGCGCCACTCATCTCCATTTCTCGGCATAAAATACCTATCCTGTGTATGGTCACCATTTCAATTAAAAGTAAAAAATTATTAGTCACCATCGTGTTTGAGAGCAACATAACCTTATATTAAGGTACCTTTAATTATGTTGCCACTTAGTAAACATGAAATACTCGAACTCATATCTGGTTTTAGATTTATCAGGCAGCAGATTTGAGCCAATTTCTTTCGACTCAACTATTCTTTTACGTGGAGTTTCACAACATTCCCTATTGTAGCGTATAAGATTATTTTGAGAAAAATAGTGAGGAAATTACGTAGGCGAAGGACCAGTTCTAAAACAGAACAAATGTGCAAAATGATAGTAAACATACTAAAAACATTTACTTGGCTGAAGCAATTTTCTTCCATTTACACTTCCATATCTGTTGGCACAAACAAATGAATGAAAATATCGATTGGTTAGTTATGTAAGGTTTGTCTTGAGGCCACGCAACACAAAGAAGTTCAGAAAGTTTGTGGTCACTTAGAATTCTGTGGAAGTCGCGAACCGCACTGACACATGCTCCAAGAGTCCGGGCCATACAACTACCATAGATAAAACATACTCCCTTCAACTACACACTTTGTCTATAAAACTAAAAATTACTTCTTTTAAATTAGCCTACACTGGGAATGAATTGAAAACGTAATGAGAGTTACTAAATGGGAAAACTATACACACGTTTTTTGCCCATACATGAAGACAATCTATACTTATATTTCTATCATTTCACCTCTGTAAGTAAACGTGGAATACTCAACTCCAACTCATACCACCTGTTTTATACATGTCAGACAGCAGATTTGGGCTGATTTGTTTCGACTTTGTTATTTCATGTCGAATTTCACAACACTCCATATCGTAATGGATCTTCTAATATAGGTTGCGTACACTACTTTACCTACGACAGTGTTTTAATTACTAAATATCCCCACTCAACTTTTAATTAAGAGAGGGGTTATTTTTTGAAGGTATGGTCGCAAAGATTCACGTATTAAAATTATTGCTTGGCTTCGAATAGTCTCGAGCTCGAATATACTCGATAAATTGCATCATACAGACGAACAGGTGTCTAACATGTGACAAGTGCCGCCAGTTTGTTTAAGGCACAGAACAATGTTGAACATCAAACAAAGCCCATCAGACTGTAAACATAGTTCATCAAAAATGGGATACACTGATCAACTTGTATTTCTGTTTTTATTTCTAAATCAATTTGTAACTACAGTCAGGACCAAGAGAGTCTGCAGTTCCAGTTGGCGTCAGCCAATCACAAGACAGGGCTAGTGCGACGTTGCCATATCACCTGTTGACATCACTAATTAAAATATACTAAGCAATATTTTTTATCAGGTGGTAGTATTAGATTTGGCAACAACGCGCGGTCCTCATTGGCTCCTCCCTCAACTGCATACTCTCGTGGACCGTACTTTACTCATATAGTATGCACGCTATATTTAATTGTCAAATTGCATAGAATAATTTATGGTGTATTGTGTAAAAGTCCTGGTTTGTAAAATGTTTGTCATGTTTCGGTCCCTGAATTCAAGCTTTGTTTTGCGATGACCTAATTCCACAGTATTTGTTAGTCTGAAATAATTTATTTTTATTTGAGATCAAAATAAAATACATATTCATTCAACATATAGATAAGAGGGCTACGTTGGACTAAGTCCATGGAGTACTTAAAATATAATCTTTAGATATTTTATACCCAAAAGTTCTTTTGATATCAACAAATTAAATTATATAAATTTAATAATTTATATAATAAATTATTATATAAATTGTTATATATAAATTGTGTTATCTGAACGACCCATATCCTATTGTTCCAGCTAAACAAAGTTTGTTTGTGTTTGTTTAATCTCCCTTGTATTTTACTCCCAGTTTCCTGTTGGTTACACTAAAATATATTTATTTATTTAATAAAGGATGAATTTCTCTGCAATAACCGATTAATTTCTCTGTGTTCTCCTTTTTCGCCCATATCCTACTAAACCAATTATAAATGTTGAATTATTGTTGTCTATGATTCTTTTGTGTCCATTACACTATCAATATGTGCCTACCTAAAAAAATATTCCTGGAGCCGCCCCTGTGTCGAACTATTGATACACCAATAGTTGCCTTTAATCTCTTGTGCCTTCAGTGCAATAAACTGTTTCCCCGTGTCATCTATCTATTTACATTCAACAATTAGTAGTTTACGCAACGATTGCGTTAAGTGAGTCTTTACGACACGAGTAGAAAATTTAAGGCACGAGCCTTGGCGAGTGCCTTTTGCGTACACTACTTTACCTACGACCGTTTTTTAATTACTATCAATCTGGATCTAATTACTAACAATAACTACTGATAACTTTTTAGAGAGGTTATGTTTTCGTGTATTGTCATTGCCACTGAAAGTGATGCAACGACTTGTTGTATAATCAGCTGATTTCCTGTAATTACGTGTTTGTTAAACTTCGTTAAATATTACATTGCTAGCAGCATTCTTACCATAAATAATATTGTATCAGGTACAATTCGGCAAATATTTCATTTATTTTTGGACTTCCACCAACTTAATTAAGAATACGCGAGTATAAACATGAACAAGTCGGATCAACAATTAAATTGGTCAACTGATCAGCTGATCAGCTGATTAGTTGACGTTCGAAGCATTACAATTTTAATTCTTTTCTCTCAATACTTGAACCTCATTGGTCCGTTACATGTGTGGATATGAGAAAACTATGCGGATATGAAATGAAACTATGCGGATATGAAAGTAAACAGCTGTAAAGTGAAACTTTTCAATTCTAAGAACTGGACTGAAATGGCTTCTTTAAAAAACGGTCGTAGGTAATAGTTATTTGTTTAACTAGTGCGCTAAGTGGCACTTTGCGCTCGCGTTACACATTATATTTTTCCAACAGTTACTATAAAACAACACGTTTTAGGTTAGGTTAAATCCAATCGTTGAACGAATATAGAATGTTAACACGAAACAACAGGTTAAGTCGTGGGCCTATAAAAAATTCAAAAGGCTGTGAAACGCTGCACCAGCTGATTGTGGTCGTAGTATAAGTTTTGCCAACTTATTTCCAAGCATACACGTATTACGTACCTAATATAAGCATACTGTTTTGTGTTTGGTTGGAATACTGGAGTGCGGCAAAAGTAAGTAAATGCAGCAATTAGCTACATTGCGTGCTATAATCAGTGCAAGGAAGTCTGCTTTGTCAGGTAACTGTAGGAAAACAAATTTGAATCCAGTCGTCAACATTGCAACAATGAACTACAATCGATACAACCCGATTGCTTCAACATTGCTACGATTGATGGCAATCAAAGCTAACAAGTGGCAAAATGTACTGCTGATGACGTCATCAAATCCAGTTTATTTTTATTCTCTAGTAAAACAGTTACTTAGACCCGTATGTATTGAAAACTCCTGTTATTGCTGCAGTATGACGTAAGAAATAGTATAGGTACTTTATTTAGTTCATCATTACATTACAGTAGTACCATATTTCGAGTTTTTGACCACAGTCTAGTTGTAAACAAGAAGCAACAAGTTAATGAATATTTTAATAGGCTACTTTTATTAATAATTGTAACCTCATTGAAGTAGGTAAATCACTACTCTTTATGCCTTGGTAGATGGAACTGTGATCCACAAATTTTAATTATTGAAAAATATTAGTTTTATTCATCCATCTTAAAAACTTATTATTCATATGATGTTTTTTCTTCAGCGTTAATTTGTTAATTACAATGTAGTATTGAAAAGGTAAAAGGATATTGCATTATTCGTCTTGCTACAGTTACAAGTTTTATACCCTATCATAATGTGCTATCTGCACAATTGAATACAGTACCTAATTAATTCAATAGAAAATCATATTCAGCAGAAATCATAGTTGGGCTCCCTTCCATTTATTTCCTTAGCTTAGGTAAATCTCGAAGAATGTCTGGATGAATTCGAGGCTACAGGTGGCTGCTGGGTACATTGATCCATTCCACCCCCCCCCCCCCCCCCACACTCTATCTTTCAAGCTTCATTGCTGGACAACTACCCCAAATCACAATCCTAGAGATGGTACTAAATGTTTTTGTATACTTTAAATAAGTAAAATGAAATTTAAACAAATTGTAAACTAGTGGGGAGGCAAATGTAGTAAAATATGTCAATTTCCAAAGTTGGCTCACCCCGAAAGGTAACCGTTGAACACTATGCTAGATGATATTGTATAGTAGTAGAGATGATATTTTGACCGGTGTTCACTCTGTATGAGTGGGACTCTCTTTTCTGGATGCCATTTTCCAAAATGGCGGATGTCAACGTTTATATATTTTTATATATTTTTTGAATAACTCAAGCAAAAATGATCCGATTTTGATGAAATTTGGTATAAACGTTTAAACTTACATTTATTCAAATGAGTTCGAGAACCAGCATGATCGGACCATGGGAGAGGGGGTTTATGGGGGGTTTTATGGGGTAAAGATGGTATTTTCTTATTTTTTGCCCCCAAAGCACAACATTTTCCAATTTCTCTCTAAACCATTTTAAAGAACTTAAAAAAAGAAATAATTTAGTATATTAACGTCTTTTGTACCCTTATTGGTTACGGAGAAAATAAAAAAAGTGTTATTTAAAATTCCCATGTTAATCTTATGGAGGATATTGTCAATTCTTGTAGTTTGCTTGTTTATGGATAAATTTTGATCAAACTTGGTCAACTTATTTATTTATACTAAACTATTAATATTAATATTCTACTAACATTCACACTTTATTAGCCTCCCTGTGGCAGCAAACCTAGCTACACGTTAAACCTAATTTTATTTAAATTGAATTAATTTAAATACAAATCAGGCAAATGGAAATTTACTTAGTCTGCAGGTTCGCTGTGACGGGGGTATTTTATTCTTGACATTTCTTCCTAACCCTAGTGGTTCAGGAGATATAAGCAGTTAAAGTTGGGGTTTCCTCCATGATAAATACATTGATCCGTTTTAACTGTCACCCTAATGCATTTTCTGTGCTATTCCGTTGCATTTCTTAAGAAGTGCAAAAACTTTTGAATTGGCATATAATTATCAGGCACATCTCAGATTCGCACGATGCGTTAAAATATTAAAAGTATCGCTTTATTTTAGTTTTTTTCTCCATGAATTGTATTTTGGCGGCCATTTTGTGGGATCAAATCAAATTTTAAGTTGCAGATTTAGTTTTCCCACCCTTTTAAACATTAAAAACGATATACTTCACACTATATCTAGCAAAAATGTGTTTAACTATTTTTCTCTGGGAGCGATTATTATTTTAATTTAAATACCATAATATCAGGTACTTTACCAAGTCGGATTTTGGTAGACTTTTTTTGTTGTTGTGTGGAGGTATAAAAGTAATGAAATCCGTCGAAAAACCTTTTGAAACAATTTTGTTGAACCTCCACTATATATTTCTCTTTAATGGCCGGACTATTACAACTGTACAGATTTTCATGCCGTAGTTTATGTTTATCAATATTGCTCTTATTGCAAAAACTGGCATAGCAACTTGTTTTATGCAATTTCGGATCTTTTAGCTTTAGTATTTCTATGTCTGGCTTGAGACGCTTCAATACATCCAAATTATTTACATCACTGTAAGACAAACGTTTATAGTGTCCAACTCGATTTATTCCATCTTTGCCACCATTTGTGAGATTTTCATTAAATACAACTACTTGGTAAAATATGCATAAATCCCAGTTTGTTAGCTCCGAAACTTTACGCTTCACTGGCAATCTGGCAACTGGTATCAATGTCTGATCCATTTAAGAGATGTTTCATGTAATATTTGTTTTGTATAATTATGTATATTGAAATACCACCACTGAAATAATACACTAAACTGAAATACACTAACTGAACAATCAAACTGAATCATTTTCATCACATAATTAAACAGATACAAAAATGAAACAATCATCTTCAATAATCATATGTCAACGGTCAACAGCTGTTAAACATTACCAACTGAAACCCTGTGCCAAGTTGATTTTCCCTACTGATTCTCTTAAAATCAGCTGTCTCAATCTTCAATAATTATACACCAAATAAAAACTTTACTACGATACTTTTAATATTTTAACGCATCGTGCGAATCTGAGATGTGCCTGATAATCTAGCTTTGTTATTATATGCCAATTCAAAAGTTTTTGCACTCTTAAGAAATGCAACGGAATAGCACAGAAAATACATTAGAGTGACAGTTAAAACGGATCAATGTATTTATCTTGGAGGAAACCCCAACTTTAAATGCTTATATCTCCTGACCCACTAGGGTTAGGAAAAAATTTTGAGAATAAAATACCCCCGTCACAGCGAACCTGCAAACTAAGCGAATTTCCATTTGCCTGATTTGCATTTAAATTAATTCAATTTAAATAAAATTAGGTTTAACGAGTACCTAGGTTTGCTGCTACATGGAGGCTAATAAAGTGTGAATGTTAGTAGAATATTAATATTAATAGTTTAGTATAAATAAATAAGTTTACCAAGTTTGATCAAAATTTATCCATAAACAAGCAAACTACAAGAATTGACAATATCCTCCATAAGAATAACATGGGCATTTTAAATAACACTTTTTAATTTTCTCCGTAACCAATAAGGGTACAAAAAACGTTAATATACTAAATTATTTCTTTTTTTAAGTTCTTTAAAATGGTTTAGAGAGAAATTGGAAAATGTTGTGCTTTGGGGGCAAAAAATAAGAAAATCCCATCTTTACCCCATAAAACCCCCCATAAACCCCCTCTCCCATGGTCCGATCATGCTGGTTCTCGAACTCATTCCAATAAATGTAAGTTTAAACGTTTATACCAAATTTCATCAAAATCGGATCATTTTTGCTCGAGTTATTCAAAGATCAAACGTTGACAGCCGCCATTTTGGAAAATGGCGTCCAGATAAGAGAGTCCCACTCATACAGAGTGAACACCAGTCAAAATATCATCTCTACTACTATACAATATCATCTACCATAGTGTTCACCTGTTACCTTTCGGGGTGAGCCAACTTTGGAATTTTGGCCATTCGCCTCCCCACTAAACTTCCATCACATACCAAGACTTTTTTAAATGGGTAATTAATTGGCAAGGGTGATTATTATACTAGGTGGCTGTGACTTATTTTTTTCTATTTTTATGTAGAACGTCTTATCTACAGGAGTATAGAGTCTATATGTCATATTGAGTTCAGATTGTTTAACCTACTAAGAACCCTCAAAACTAAGAAATCTTTGACAACATAACCCCTACTTTGGACCCAGGTGAACACATACAGAGAATATGCATGAAGGCCAATTCTGTACTGGGTTTAATTGCCCGTATTTCAAGGAGTGGTGCTTTCTCTACCAATACTTTGAAGATCTTGTATGTTTCCTTGGTGAGACCTATTCTCGAATATTGCTCCACTGTATGGTCTCCGTTCCAAGTTGGCCATATTAATTCCTTGGAAATGGTTCAAAAGCGCTTCCTTCGCCTGGTTGGTGTTCGAGCAGGGATTCGCTATACGGATGTTAATACTGATCATATTGCAGCTCAACTACAATTGCTGCCGCTCTTATCAAGACGAACTGCATTAGATCTGATTTTCCTGTACAAAATTGTCAACTACCTGGTGGAATGCCCCGAGATTTTTCAGATGTTGAACTTCCAGGTTCCTCAGAGTACACGGCTACAGAACGTTTTTGCCAAGCTGCACTACCCTACCTCATACATGTACCATAGTCCTGTACCTCGCCTGATGCGTCTCGGAAACAACGCCCATCTGGAGTTCTTCGGGGTTCGTCCTACTGCCTTCAGAAGAGATGCATTTTTGAGTGTTGTGAGCCTAGCGTGTAGTGAGTCAATGTAGTGTTGCACCTTGAATTTTTATTTTTTTTTGAATTTTTATTTTTTTAATCATGACCATGCTTGGTCTAATTATACATCACCTCTCATTCATGTCGATCCTGTTATTGTGTTTGTCTTGGTCAGAGCTACTTATTACCATTGTATGCACTATTATTATTGTTGTTATTATGTCTTGTTATTATATATCGTATGCATCTTGTGTCTCATTCTCAGTTATATCTCTTTGCTCGTTAACCATCTGTACTTTTACTTGCAATGCTAGCTTCTTTCTTTTTTGGTTTGTCCAGAGTCTGATTTTTACTCACTATTGTATGGCACTATTTATTAATATTATTACATGTCTTGCTATTATGATTTGTATGCATCTTGTTTCTCTTTCAGTATTATTATTATGCCTTTCGCACGTCACCTGATATCCTCTTGCATATCTTTTTGTAATGCTAGCTTCTTTTGTTCATAGTCCACCTGTTACTAATTTTATATGTTCTATTCAGTAGTATTACTATCCTTATGCATCTTGTATTCACCTATTGTATTATTTAGTATTTGTTATTGCTTGTGGTATTATTTAGTATTTATTATTGCTTGTTATCTCCCGTATGTAATGGCATTATTGTACAATGGCTTCTGCCGTGAATAAACGAATTGAATTGAATTGACAGTCTTCGTTTAAATAAGTAATTTTTAATAAGAACCAATAAGAATAGGTCTTCATATTGGTTGGGGAAAGACTGTAAGACTCACTGAAGGAAGAAATTCACATACACAAACAATTATAGACCATGATTAAATGTAATAAGAATATGTTTTTCTTCCATGAAACAACTCTATGGTTCTTTCTTTTGCATTGAATAACCTGTTGTTAGAAAAAAACACCCAACAGCTGTTAGTAAATCTTTCAAATAATCAATCACAAACACAATTATACAAAAACAAATAACAAGGAAAAATAATTAAATTTACAATAGTTGTTTATACCTACATAATAGTTTAGTGGGGATTATGCATTTAATTCCGTACAGTGTGGTATTTTTTTATCAATTGAAATATTGAAACATGTTTCCAAATATGAACAGCAATGTTCCATTACATAACATAAGCTGTGTTTGGGGCCGTGGAATAAGTGGTTATACAAATGTTCTTTCGAAGACCCCACAGAACATTCAAAACATTGCAAAGGTAACTTCACCTATAAATTTGGAAGTGCAGGACATCATAAACATATTTAAAAAAGGTAAAGACAACTTGTTTTCAAGTAAAAAACCGACAACATCAAGAATACCTGTTCAGCAGTTGTTATCAAAAATCACAAAATATGATTTACTCTCAACAAATGCAACATATTCAACACTGAACTTAAACTTTAGAGGACAAAATAATTATTTACTCGCAAACACCAGACATGCACATTTGTTTAGTCAAATTCATGGATTTCGAACATTAAGGCCCAATAAACCTCGAAAGAATGATGAATCCACTGAAAAACAAAACAACTTTTTTGGAATCGACTCACAGGTAAAACAAACCATGAGAAACTTGAAAGATTATAACCAAAGCTTGGAAAAAGAGAAGTTGCCCCCTGAACAGCACCAGAGAGCGTTGCTTGCATATGTGGAGGGTTATGTGAGTGGCAAAGATACAGCAGGACAGATGCCTTGGTGGAAAAAGTGGACCACATTGTTAGGATCACTTTTTTCAATCGGCTCATCACTGGTGCTTATTTTATATTTATATTCACATATGAGCTCTTTAGGTTCTCTGTTTGAGTCACCGGAGTCAACAGAATTTATGGAGTTAAGTCATAAATTCAGTGATGTCAAAGGAGCAGACGAAGCGAAACAGGAATTGAAAAACGTTGTTGAGTTTTTGAAAAATCCCGAAAAGTTTACTAAACTCGGAGGAAAACTACCAAAAGGAATTCTTCTTGTCGGTCCACCAGGAACAGGCAAGACTCTCTTGGCAAAAGCTATTGCTGGGGAGGCTGGAGTCCCTTTCTACAGCAAATCTGGAGCTGAGTTTGATGAAATATTTGTCGGCCTCGGAGCGAAGAGGATTAGAGACCTTTTTAGACTAGCCAAGGAAAACACTCCATGTGTGATATTCATTGACGAAATTGACTCTATAGGAAAACAACGAACATCGAGTGTTATGCATCCACACGCTAACGACACAATCAACCAGTTACTGACAGAAATGGACGGGTTTAAAAGCAACAGCGGAATTATCGTCTTAGGAGCAACAAATAGGAGAGGTGATCTAGACACAGCCCTCCTGAGGCCAGGAAGGTTTGACGTTGAAGTAAACGTTTCTGTCCCGGATTACAAAGGTAGAACAGAGCTGCTCAATCACTACTTGGGTCAAGTGCCCCATGGTGATATCGATGTAGAGAAAATCGCAAGAGGAACAACCAACTTTACTGGAGCAGACATAGAGAGCATGGTGAACCAGGCCGCATTGAGAGCAGCTTTGTTGGGAGCAAAACTCGTCAGTACAGAGCATATAGAATACGCTAGAGATAAGGCGTTGATGGGACCGGAGAAACTATCGAAAATACTAGATGAAGAAACCAACAAGATCACAGCTTACCACGAGGGCGGACATACTGTGGTGGCTTACTTCACAGAACACGCACAACCTCTGCACAAAGTGACAATCGTTGCTAGAGGGTCTTCTCTGGGACACACGTCTTACATCCCCAGCAAAGATGTTTACCATGTGACAAAGACGCAACTACTAGCCATGATCGACACCATGATGGGGGGCCGGGCCGCTGAGGAACTCATATTTGGAACAGAAAAGGTTACCTCTGGAGCATCTAGTGATTTGGAGAAAGCAACTGATCTGGCTTCGGAGATGGTTAAAAAGTGGGGAATGTCAGAGGAAGTGGGGTTATCGAGTTACAGCAACCGGACCCTGATGAGTCCTCAAACTGCAAATCTGATAGATGCAGAGGTTAAAAAAATCCTGAAAGAATCTTACGAAAGAGCTAAAAACATCCTTATCACTCACAAGGACAAACATAGAGAGCTGTCTGAAGCTCTTTTGAAGTATGAAACACTCGATGCGGATGAGATTAGTTTAATCATGGAAGGCAAGACTATTAGGAAGCCGCAACAGAAGTAAATCTTAATCGGTGGAGTAAGAAATTATAAATTATATAACTAGCTATTGTGTCACAAGTGTTTTGGAGGTTAGTATAAATACTAATCATATGAACAAAAATAAATTGATTAACCCTGCAATGTTTGTTTTACACCCATTTTCTATAACTTACTTGTTTCTCCTTGATACCATAAGTGATTGGTTACTTTAGTTTTTAAGTGATTTGGTTGGTTTTAGTACTCGCCTTAATAATAGTTCCTGCTCAAAGAAACGCATAGTAGGAAAATAAACTCTAAAGAAACAGCTAGTCTGAATCAGTAACAAACCTATAAAAGGCATGTAATTAAACTTTACACTTATCTTTTACTCAGTTATATTCAGGTTTAAAATAGCCTATGTATAGTTCGGCCGCTTAGAAAGCGACCTCCTCCAGCATTGGTTTAGCATTAGCGCGCAGGTCGTTTTCTAAGCGGCCAAACTATAGTATCCATACCTGCTTCAATGTCGAGTCAAAAGTAATGAAATAAATTAAACAAATGGCATAATGTGGCATATGGAATAATGGCATAATAAAGTTGCATGTTCAGTTTTGAGAAAATTTTGTAGGCTGTTTTAATGTTTAATAAAACTAGACTTAGCTGTCCTTGGTCATTGGATCTGTACGATACTTGTTAAGTATGTTATCTGATTACTATTCATCACTTCTGATTTCAATAACTCAATCACTTCTGAAAGTCAAAATGGTCTATTTGTAAACTCTCGATACCACCAATATTTTTATATTGGTATCGGTATCAAGAGTAGATCGTCAAAAGTCTATGGCGATTCCGATACCTGCAAAGATTAGCGGTTTTGCAGCTCGCGGGTGACGACAAAGTTTCTGTGACCGCAGAAGACAAACTTAGTAGAGTCTATAAACGGTATCGGTATCGAGAATCGATAAATTTTGGAATCGATACATCACTATTGTAAACCATTATTGATATTTCAAGCAAGGAGTAAAGTATGCAAAACAGAGTACCCTTAGATAATATAGAGGAATACACATCAAGTCTTGCAAGTCCTAAGTCTTACAGTATCCAAAATAAATGGTATTAGTTTTGTTTTGGCCCTTTTACAACAGACATATTTGAGGATTATAAAATTAGGTTACACTTTTAATTTAAAATATTTTTTAAACTACTTGTAATCTATTGAAGAAAACAAAGCACCAGCATCAACAATAAGAAATAATAAGTTTAATGACACAACAATCGATGTACATAAATTCAATTATCTAAAAACAACAGATACATCACCATAGTATTATTAGAGTCCATTTATATACGTATATAATTTACAATCAGAATTGCATTGCTTGTGTAGCTTAAACCTCTAACAAATACATATAAAAGGTATTAATTTTATGAGCTTTAAGGTTACTTCAAAAAAAGTTAGAAAAACACTATGGATAATGATCAATAATTTTCTTATAGGTAGCCTATCTATAAAATGGTTTAACATAAAATCAATGTTTACTTTAAGTTAACATGATTATAATAAAATTTAAAAAACTACTTCTCGATCCTCTAACAACAGCTCAATTTGCAATAAACATTTTCACAGATCGAATATGTCCAACTTAATTATATAAAAGTTAAAGCAAAATCAAACCGACACAATCTAAATATCTTGCCTTAAAGCTCAGGGGAGTAGCAAATTTACACAAATTTCTATACATTTGCATTGGACTTGCATACAGCACCATATCAAATAAAGTATACAGCTATACAATGCTACATACTATTACAATACGCTATGTTAGTATAGAACCAGTAAATGAACACTCGGAATGATCAGGCTGATATCAGCCGTAAGGCAACAATCAGTCGAACCGATGTTTAATCGTTTTTGGCAGCATTTCATTCAATAATTTAATGTGTGAGTAATAAAATCATATTTTAATCATGCACATAAACTCTTGGTCTTCCACAAAAACCATAAACCATTCAGTCTTATACTAATATTGAAATACATGCTTAAAGAATATTTTACCTACGACCGTTTTTTTAAGTAGCCGTTTCAGTTTAGTTCTTAGAATTGAAAAGTTTTCTAATCACAGCATTGTTTACTTTCATAACAACATAGTTTTACTCATAACAACACGGGTAACGGACCAATGAGATTCAAGGATTGAGAGTGAAGTAAAATTGTAATGATTCAAACTTCAACTAATCAGCTGTTCAGGCCAATTTAATTGTTGACTGGTACAATTAGTGTTTGGTACAATGTTTCGTTGCATCACTGTCAGTGGCAATGAGAGGTTATAAACGAAAAGATAACCTCTCTTAGAAGTTATGAGTAGTGATTTTAGCAATTAAAACACTGTCGTAGGTAAAGTAGTGTACGCAACTCGCATAAATAGTGTTAACGACACTTGTAGAAGTTTTTAAGGCTCGTACCTTAAATTTTCTACTTGTGTCGTTAACACCATCTTTACGCAATCGTTGCGTGAACTACTATTCTATTATTCGTATAAGTTGTATACAGTTCACAATTATATTTAAAAAAGTATAAATATTCTTATTCCATCTTGATACTGATATAAACTGGGTATAAACTAATCAGAAAAATGTTTAAATGTGAATATAAACAATAAAAAAACAGAATTACAAAAAACATTTAATACTTCTGACGCTCGACAGTTGTGATAGTAGGCTATAAATTGACAATGTTTCTTTAAAATACTGATGTTCAATATATATGGGTTAAAAAAGTATATAAAATACTACGGATTTAATACTGGTCCAGTGGTTACACTGATATGTTTCAAAACTTTTTGATTTATTAGTGAAGTAGGTGGCGTTACAAGTAAAACCATAGACAAAAATAATTAAATATAGACTGTCAGCCGTGCTCAGTTACCATGGTTACCAAAGGTTCTGGCGCACACCGCTGGGAGTGCCGTGTAGCTACGTAGCATGTGCGCCAGAACCTATGGTAACCGTAGCACAGCTGACGGTCTATATTTAATTCTTTTTGTCTATGGTAAAACTGACCTCAAGTAATGATTTGTTGTTAATGACTCACAGTCAGTAATTTATAATGTAAATTGATTTGAATTCTACATAACGAATAAAGTAAACTCTCTCATATTTCCTATTCTATCAAATCCAGTCTAATAAAGTTATATTATAATATTAAAATCATTGACAGAGTACCCAAAGTGCCACTATCTTTGGTAATTCTACAAAAATTTGTTCAAAAAATAAGTGGACCTATTTCAAATTAAGGATTTATATCTCATCGCACTTACATTTTAACATTACCTAAAGAAGTTTTCGTTTCTAATAAAAAACATTTTTTCTACAGGAATATATATACTAGATTTAATTACGTGTTAAATTTGCTACTGATAATTAAAACTTTCCATTAAATACAAAATACTAGATAGAAAGTATACATAGGCGGCCAGATACATGATTGAATGTTTAAAATTAATAGTTAAATTTATTATTGACTAAAACTATATTTTGATTGGTTCCCTAGATCAGGTTGGGCAAACAAAATATTTTTGTTTGCTTATTTTAAGATCTCCTTTAGATGTTACTGGGATATTTAGATGAGTTTTCAATTATTATACAGGGTGTCCTATAAGTAAAAAGCTAAACTCCGGGAAATAGTTTGAGAGGTAAAATAAAGAGTTAATCAGGAATAATATTTTTCACAAAATCGCTTCGTTAAACAGGTATCCGTCATTTTGTATTTTTCACATAAACATTTTTATTTTTGTATTATTTGAACCGATCTTTAGAAAACTTAGTATGTTAAGGTACAAACAACCTATGTTAGAAAAAATCAACTTGGTAAAATGAAAAATTTCAGAATGTTAGACTGTTTACTAATGGGACACCCTGTAATAAAAAATTTAAGCGCAGCGTTAATTGTTTTTTTCCCAAAATACCACCATCAGGTTTAAAAAAGATTGACTTAAAAAGTCGAGTTTTATCAGTAAAATCAGTGATATACAACTAACAAGACTCAAACCACGATATAGAGCACAGGGTCAAAAACATAACATCCAAAACTCTGCACATGTTCATCTCTACAAAAAGAAAATCATAAAACTTACCTAACGACATATGAACTATTATTTGTGATGATTCTTTAGAACACTTTACCATCATGTAGAATCTAACAGTCATAAGTTCTAGCTTCTAAGTAGATATGATTGCCTAAGTTTGTACTAGTTGATGAAAACCTTCTCCCCGAAGAAACTAGTGCACCGCCGATGCTTTTGTACGGTTCAGTGTTTGTTATTGGGTCTTTGACTTCTTTTGTAGCTCCTTCCAATCCGTAAACAAATTCCTCATGTCGGCCAATGCTCGCTCTATTTGCTGGGCGAATCTACTTGCGTTCTAAACAAACACAACTGACTGTCATTGTTATGTAAGTGAAGTTGCAGGGAGTTTGGAAAGCTCAAATATGTAACAGTTTAGAATTTAAGATTTTTAAAGAATCTACATTACACTACATGGATTTCTAGTTATTTTTGAAAGGCAACATAACACATAACATATTATGTTGAAATTGATTATTAATGGTAGGCCTACACAATAAATTGCAGGCCCACCGAACCGAGAGTGTCAACAGATAAAAGTAATGGAAGTAAAATATATTTAAACAAAAAGAAAATTACCGATGGTACTGGCCATACAAGTGGCAGATACATCTGATTTAGCAATATTAAAGCTAAGGTAAACAATGAGGCCAAGCGAGCGTAAAAAGTGAATATTTCAAACATGTTTTCAAAAGAATTTGCTGCTCTTTTCCTTTGATCACTTTTCATAAGAGATATGAGGAATCTGAATGTTTGTAATTTTTCAAGAATTCATCGGTTAGCTTACGCCTTGCCACTTGACCGTATTGTTTGCTGTGTTACTCACCGTCTGGTTGGAGCTACGTTTGCAGGAGATGTGGAAGAACAGCAGATCCTCCCCAGCGATGATGTAGGAGACTCCGTATCCGTCGTCTGCTACAGGGCCAAAGCCTCCGCCAGCAGAGATGCAGCGAGGGTACTTGCGCAGGTCTAGCTTAGACGTCTGTCCGTGAGGCGTCTGAGACGTAGACAGTCTCCACGGTTCACTCAACACCTCCTACAACAGTCAGTGTCTCCATAACTTGAAAATTAAATTCACTGTTTTATGAGAATTCATTCATAGTTTTTCATGATCATATTAGTATACCTTTTGTGATGGCAATAAAAGTGAAACGCAAGTATTTTAGTCTAAATTTTGTAAAATGGTTTGCGACTTAGTGCAAATGGTAAAAGCAATGTTACATGTTGAAGCTATGTGATTCTACAGTTCACTACTGCCCACACTGCTGTTGCTCACAGTCTTAATTAAAAACAGTGTATGGTTGTGTGGATTTCAGAGCAGAAACATGCAGACTGCTTGATTATCAAATGCTGAGTGGGACTTTACTGGCCTATAACAATACCTTGAGAAATGGAGAGTCGACCTCCAGATACTTGGAGACTACGTAGAGACAGAAGAGATGTCTGTCGATGCCTTTACCACACATGGCGTCCTGGTAGCCTCTCTGGTGTTGCTGACAGGCTGCATGTAACAGCTTGATCCTCTCCTCTGTCTGAACAACAACTCACTCAGTATGTGAATAACAACATTTCACTCAATATGTGAACAACGTCTGGATAATTAGCTGGACTTCATTAGTCAGAAAGCAACACAGGTCATTCGATTTCATTCTACACCCACCTGCATTAAAATTTCATAGCTTAAAATATAAATAAATAAAAGGGCGTTGCTTTCTTATATGACTTTTCTCAGGATCAAACCAACCTTTTGATTGAAAGGCAAGTACTATAATCTGTGAGGTAAATAGCTATGGGATTTAATGACCAGTAGTAACACAACAAAAATCATCTGAACTAATTCATTTTTGTGTTAAATCTAGCTTAGATACGTAACCTTTTTATAAAAAAGATTTTAAGTACAGTAGAACCCCGGTTAACCAAAATAAAAGGGGGAGAGCCGTTTCGGATAACCAATTTTTCGGTTAACCTGTTATATGCTAAATATAGCCTATTTTTTACCACGGGGAGTTGGGAAAATGAATATAAAACAATGTCTATACTAGCTGTAACCCGCGGGCTTTGCCCCGTTTAACTTCTTAATTTTCAAGATGATCTCGTTTGCATGGCTCAATCACGTCCTGGTTGAAGTTCGTTCGCTACGCTCACTCACCTTTAGATTGGAGTTCGTTCGCTACGCTCACACACCTTTTGGTTGCAAATTAGCTGTTGTCATAAATGTAAAAGAAATAATAGTGCTGCACCCTGTTGGTAATCCTTGTAACTTTAATGCTATTGAACATCATAGAACAGAACCAACTTGTTTAATTGAAACAGCTGTTAAGATTCATTAATTCCATTTCTCATAAGTTTAACATGGGAAACTCCAGAGCCACTGGGGCGGAGCCCGGAAGGATTTTTGGGATAAAAATATGCCTATATGTTAATCGGGAATATGAGCTATCATCATGCCGAATTTCAGCCCGATCCGACCAGTATTTTTTGCGTTCACTTGTCACAAACATACATCCATCCATACATCCATACATCTAAACTTTCACATTTATAATATTAGTAAGATAATACAGAATGAATGAATGAATGAATCCTTTTTATTTCATTAAAGTACATCAGTTACAATGGTACAAACAACAATTACTGAAATGTAATCCCCAAATGGGCTAATGCCTGTGGTTGGGGATTGAGTCCATCATCCGCACAATAAAACAATAAATTTCGGCTACTTTTAAAAAGGGAAAATAATATACATTGTACACAGAATTTTGTTTACAAGAAAAGATAAATTTAAGAAAAACAGTATTTTATTTCAGCTACAGAAATGTTACAAAGGGTTAGAAAATACTTTAAACTAAACAACTGAAGTTACTTAAGCATTTTACATTACGTATTACTTATATTTTAGCCCTGTATTATTTTATGGAACCGTTTCGGTTAACCCGGGTTTTGGTTAACCCGGGTTTTGGTTAACCCGAATTCGGTTAACCGGGGTTCTTTTGTAATACTTAACTTGGATTACAGTAGTTAATTTAATTGGATAGTATCCAACTCCTAAAAATTAGTTAAAACAAACTGAGTTTGAATCAAACAAAACCTTGTTTACCATTTTATAACGAGTTACATGGGAGTAATTATATTTCTCGTCATAATGACAAACAAAATATTTTAAAATTGGTGTTCAATAATCATAGATGCTTGATGATTTTGAAATTTTATTTCCCAGAGAACAATACTCACTGAAGATGACTTGTTTTGCATAGCTCGCACCCAAGCTGCAGACTCTATAGTGCAAGGTCGTACAGTCTCTGTGCGACCCTCCCGGTACAGTCTGGTCATGGACGCCTCGTAAGTCAGGCTGAATCTACCAGCATCCTACACATACATGTAACTGTAGAGTTGCTATGGACTGAGAATAACAGATACATGGGGATCCATACACATTTAATATAGTATATCGAACACTTGAGAACTTTTCAACATAGGTAAGTACTACTTACACCATAAATTCCAAAACAAGTCAAGCCGCTTACCCTGAAGTAGGCCAACTGTAGAGCCATCTGTATATAGGCGTCTGGGCTCACTCTCGACTCCTTCATGAAGCCTTTGCCATAGGCAGAGTGCAAGTAGATCCTCAGATCAACATCATTCAGCAAAGACATGGACACCTGACCAACAAACAGATACATATTTACTAGTGTAATCATATACAACATACGGAAGCTGTACTACCTGATTAAACACAGGAGTTCCTACTTTAAAAAAATATTGTAGTGATTTACAAAACCAACTATAACTTCCTTATTTATTATTTTCCATTCAGAAAAATTGGAAGACAATTTGCAATTATTATACGAGTCTATTTCTTTCAATTTTAAACAAGACATTCATGGCATTTTGACACAAAAAACTCTTACTTGATGTTTACTCGTATTTTTTCCCAAAACAGTTTAGTCATCTAAAGAAACTTAAAACACGCACAATAACTCTTGTAGATAGACAGAAAATGCCCCAAGACAGAATATTTCCGTCTAGGAAAGCCAGAGCACATTAGCGGCGGGACGGAAATATTCCGTCCAAGTATGTCATTGGATTAATCTCATACAAACTGATTTTGTGAATAGATCACTTAATTGCCACATGTTGGTATGGTAAGAATTAACTATAATGTCACTCCAATGACCTATTTGGAACAACTGAGGTGGCACTACTGCTGCCCAAAGGATTCTTCCTTTAGGGGATCCTAGTAGTGGTAGTGTGCAGGACTTCGGTACCCGAGTATTGGTCGGTGAGTTCCAAACAAGGTAAAGCACTGAGCTAGAGATAGGCTACAACTAGAGGTAGCACTTAATGAAAGAATTGGGAGAAGTTGGTCCACATTTGTACTGAAGGATAAAGTTAATTATACTTAGTAAATTTCAACTAGGGGAATAGGGGATTGTACATACAGAAAACCACGAATCACTGAGCTGATTCCCCAAGTTAGTCACAACATAAAAACATTTTACAGCGTCTCGATTTTCTAACAGAGTTGCCGAGACAGTGTTACCTCCAGTTGTATTCCTAGATCAGTGAAGTACTGTTAACTTGCATTGTAAGGTCTAGATTTAGTTTTCTAATGACAGGATCAATGTTTTTGTACTCGCCTGGTAAGACCTGTCTATGGCAGCCAATGCCGGGGGTTGCAAGTCCCACTGCAGTCTCACAGGGGTGGGCGGAGGGTTGAACTCTGGGTTACCGAGAGCTCTGCCGTCCTCCCTGTATCTGAGTTACAAAAACACTCAGTCAGTTCACTAACCTCAACCAACCAAACCACTGACTTTCAGCAACAATGTTAAGCGTATGTGATATTGATTGATTCCCATGTGCATCTCTCAAATACATGGTTTATGTATATTTTTAAATCTTCCATTTATATGACAATGTATAAATCAAGCGATTAGATGAAACATAAAATTGAAATCTGTTTGTTTGGGTTACATTTGAAGCTCTACTCAACTAAAAAGCAACAGCGTACAATAGCTGGACGATTTATGAATAATTCCTAATAAACTTAATTAAATAACTTACGTCATCAATCCATAAATTGCTGTGGAGTACGCGTTTCAACCATCAGGTCATCCTCAGCTCCACTGTCACTAGGTTGAATTTGCTTCTATGTTGCATTATAGCAACAGCGTCGATATGTTAAATAAATAGTCCAAACATATTTTACATTTATCACACATACACGACACGTACGAAACATTTAGATAACAAATACTCTGTAACACCGTGCGCACGGCTGGACGGGCTCAGGTTTGCGGCTACACTGACTTGGTGGTCGGTATCCTACACTGAACTTTGGACCATGACGACATCTTCAGCTGGTTATCATTCTTTTATTGTCCATCAGCCTAATAATGGTGTCATACACTGGATTCGAATCAGAATGTATTTTTTCATTTAATATGTTTTGATTTTGCTTAAAACCCTTGTATATATTCATTTCTTCTAATCTGTCTAGCCGCTGTCCCTTTTTTACCTTTGCTATAATTTCTAAATTATTGCTTATATTTGTGTATTTATGCCCCTCTATATTTAAGTGTTCCGCATATTTTGATTTTGTACTCTGTTTTGCTCCCGTTCCTGTCCCATTATTTACTACTTCTTTGACGTGTTCTTTAAATCTTAAATCAAAAGTTCTGCCTGTTTGTCCGATATAAAATGCGTCACAGTTATCACAATTGAGCCTGTATACACCTGAATTCTTGTATTTATTCTCTCCAATGGATTTATTTGCATTCCCCAATAATCTCTGTAAATTGTTCTCTGATTTAAAAGATACGGTGACATTTTGTTTTTTGAATGTTTTCCCGATAATATGCTCCGTTTTCTTTGAGTATCATAGAAGCAAATTCAACCTAGTGACAGTGGAGCTGAGGATGACCTGATGGTTGAAACACGTACTCCACAGCAATTTATGGATTGATGACGTAAGTTATTTAATTATTTGATAACTCAATCCGTTGTGCTACAATCTCAACATTACTAATAAACTTACTTCGGTGTATCATCTGTATCCTCACTTTCATTAGTGTCCGCTGTTAAAAATTTTAATATTTAAGTTTATTGTAGGCCTGGATCTTTATACAGTAGACCCTCTCTTGAACGACCTTGCATTAATCGATAATCGGATTATTCACCCTCACTTGTAAAGTTTGTTTTAACCGACCTCATTTTGAGAGCAGTTTGGTTTAACCGTCACTTTCTAGGAATCTCGGCATTTCTGCTCCCACGCTCGGATGGGAACAATATGCATTTCTACGGAATGTTACAGGCTAAAAATGAACATCCCGTCTTGTAACAAAATGCTTGCTTGTATCTTAATTTTGATAATAATTTCTATATCGTATAATCTGGATTTTGAAATACTACTAAAGGTATCAAAATAAGAATGTTTAGTAACGCTTGCCTACGACTATAATTTATTTCACTGAAAGTATTTTAGATTTTACCGTTTTTTGGGTTAATTTGTGACTTTTCTATCATCAACACTTAAGAAAAAAGGAGATAAGAGAAGTTTATAACGGTATCTAAATAATGCAGCACGACTTCAGAATAATGATCATATAATTATAAATTAATAGCTTCTTTTATAGTTTTTAGGGGTTGCCCGTTTTAAAGAACCTTTTGAGTTATCCGACCTAGGTCCAGTCCGATTAGGGTTGGTTAAGAGGGGAGGTCTACTGTATTTCACAAGAATAAAGTAGTTTTTTTCTGAAAATCTTTACAACTCAAGCAAATTTAATTAAGTTTACTTCAACATTTTGCCAACTCATGATTTGTTTAAATACAAGAAATAAACTACTATTTTTATGAAAAGTTTTCAAGGTACTTGAATTTTAACATCCATAACAGAATAAATAGTATGTTTTTAAAAACGCAGTTTTTACGTTTGAACTACTGTACAATATTTACCCTCACCAATATCTAAACATGCAAAAGATTGGGTAGATAAACAATGGATTTAATTTGAAATATTTACAAAATGAACCATAAGCATTAATTAAAGCAACAAAATAACAATAAGCTTAAAGCAAACCATATAAAAGTCCACCACCGCAGTTAAATATTAAGCATTTAAGCATCCAAATATAAAAATGGGCAAAAGATACATATTTATTTATAATAAAACTTTGTACCTTATGTAAATCTGGAAATCAATTATTTCCTTAGTGTTTTGTTGGCAGTTTCATTACACCACCTGACTTGTAGTTGTAGTGGTATCGTTCATTACATGGATTCAATTAAAACAAAAACTTAACAAAACCAGTAATTAAAAAGTGGCTTATTGTAAATCAAAACTGAAAATAATTTGAATGATTTAAAGCACTTTGCTGTCTGAAATCACTGAAATCAGTTTTATTTTTACTTTTAACTAACAGTGGCGTTCTTTTGACAAGAGGTACTGAGTAATAAAAACACACAATCTACAAAAGAAGAAAACTACCATTTTAAAACCAAGATAAACTATTAACAATGTCTAAAAACATCAAATGAAATTTTCAAAATATACTGTAAATTAGGTTTTATGGAGGTTGTTCTGTAATGTTCGATTATTAAGTGTGAAATAAATAAAATTACACACTACCCCCTCTTAAGAATTTAAGAAAACATATGAAACTAAACTACTAACTTGAATGAATCCTGTTTCATTGATTAAGTTAGTTTTCAATCTTTCCTGAAACTGTGCAAACCACCAATTAAAGAAATGTGTTTTTTTTTTCAATCTTTTACAACATGATGTATTTTAGGTTCTGCGAAATTGATATGCGGAAGAAAATTTGTATGAAGGTTGCTGAATTAGTATTATTTAAAACTGCTATAACTTTGCACTAGAGGTCAGGAGTTTTGGATCCTGAATATTCACTATTCAAGGATAATTTTAAGAAAACAGAATGTAAAACTTACTGTAAAATCAATTTAATTTACTTTGTTTAACAGACTGATTTACTTGAAAAGATTCTATAATGTTTTATTTTAAAACACTAGGATCCAGGCAACATCCATGATCATCTCGGAACTGTTGGTAGAAGTTTACAAGAGAGGAAAACATAAAGCTGTCTTCTTCAACAGCTGATTCAACTTGTATGAATAAACATAACTAGCCTCACAATGTATTGTTACAGCCTGATATTTGCTGTAAACAGTTGACGAGCACAATATCAGGAAAGACATTGTTAGTACCGCACAAGTTATATTTACCCGTCGACCATGTCCGTTCCAATGATAAACTCCCACAAGTGGCCCATAACCGGTGCGTCTGCCCTGGAGTCCAAAGAAATTAAACAAAACTGCTACAAAATAGAAAATAATACAAGCGTGGAAAACAAGGAGCAAAGCATTTAAGTCTACTGTTCAACACGCTATGGTTCGTTGTGATTCTACCAACTGTAGACTACGCCTGGTCTCGGTTAAATTTGTGAGAATTTTCCTACTGTGTGTATTAATTAGTTTTACCTTTGCAAAAATCTTTAGGTTTCATTTAGTTTTTTTATTTTACAGCAGTTGTGAATAGACAAAATTTTAATCTTTATTATTCAGATCGTGATTAAGCTGATTACAATTAAATTGAAAGCACAAATTGTTTCACAAATTGTTGGTGCAATTTGGAACTTTTATTATTTTTGTAAGTTTACATCTGTTTTTACTAGCTGTTACTCCATTCTTTGCACGGGAATTTCATTTTCAAACCCTAACCAGGGATATTATGAGTAAAAACTACTATCCATACACCAGCTACGGGCAAAAACCTTTTAAAAAGACTACCGTACAAAAATTAAATCCAGTTTTTTAAATTTTACAAATTTGGAGTTTTATCTATACGTTCTCTACATTTACTTTATTTCAACACATATTAAATTATTTTTTACATTTTAAAGCACCGAGACGAGAAGTAGTCTACTTTACTGTGAAATCATGAACATTAACTAACTACATCTAAAATATTAAATATTCAACTACACAACTCTACATCAAAACTACGTCAACCTAAATGCTTTGCTGTCTGTAGTGAAGCCCGCAATCCACAACTGAAATAAAACAATAGAAGAGCGAGAGAGAGAGAGTGCGAGTGAGAGAGATGAGTTTACCCCATGTTGACTGTTTCATCGGACACGACGTACTCCCAGAAGTGAGACATTACGGCTGCATCCGCCCTGAAACCGGCACAACTTGACATCACTGAGGAGGGGCTTTCACAGAGATTTACTACACAAAGATACCTTTAAGAAAAGACATTACTCTAAAAATTAATTAATCGTATCAATTAATCAATCAGTCACAGTAGCTCTGTAATAAAATCTTTAACTGAAAAGACAGACATTGATAGTTAAGGATAAGTTTTTGGACTATCTTTTTATTTTGTTCTGGATCACCTCTGAACTGTCTTAAGATCACACAACGTCCATACTAGCAATTTAGGTTTATGACAAAAATCACAAAACAATAATTATCTAATTAACATTCATATAATTTATCATTAAGGATTGTAAATAAAATGTAATTGAAAGCCAGCTAATCATTATTGCATAGTTTTATCTTGGATTACCGTAATTCGATAAATACTCCTTTGTTCAAAACTACTGCACCGAACAACCGTCAATGTTTCTGTTTCTACAATCTGAGGATTTGTTTAAAATCCTAACCCTACTCACCAGGAATGTTCTGCGTTGAAGCCAATCTGTAAAAAACATTACACAAGTAAGTTTCTACTTAAACTTTAGCATAAGACAACCTATTGTTTCAATCGTCAAAGCTTAAACTATACAACAGTATCAGAAAAGTTCTTGTTTTGATTATTTCCATTTGGTAAGATAAAATTTACTAGATTAGACTCTCAATTAGACAAGTATAATGAAAAACACTAAACCCACTGCTTTTTAGACATTCATTGCTATCCTAAATTACTCTTACAAACAACAAACAGGCTGACAACTAATTATTGTTCAGCTACAATAAGTTAAAAGGACAACAACACCTTACTGTCAACAATCTTTTACTATTTGTCAAAATCATTCATGGAAACAACAAATAAATGTTAGGCTATCAAAATGTTGTTGTTCACTTGTATGGCTGAAGATTTGAAAAGTACCTTTAAGATATTACAGGTTACTTACTCTGCCGTTGGTCCCAATACAGAGAGTGAAAGACTTGTCAAACCATCGGTCATAGCCCTTTCCATGGAGTAGGATGCGTCCGTAGTTGTCCAACTTTGTAGGTTCAGTCTAAGGACAAAATGTAAACTTAGTACAAATAGCGTTTCTAAGTTAGTTATCCTTTACTATCCAATTGTGTGTTCCAATTCTTTTGACATACTACTACTTTACCATTGATTTAATTGCTTCAATTTTCCCACTGAATATGAATAATTCATTGTTTAACAACACTATTTGGGAAAAACTACAGTACCAATATTCAAAAGTCAAACTTACCTCTCTCCTTCTCTCAAATAAACCAGGCTTAAAAAATACAACTTTGACTATGCTTCACGGAGAAAAAACAGTAAAAGTAATTTTATCATCAGTTAACACCATTGAGAATTTACAGACTATTGTGGATACCAAATGATTCAGTGTTTGTTAAAAAACTAACACTATCTAGCATCAAACACATAAGACATAAATAAATAATGATATCTACATGTTGATAATAAAGTAAGAGTAGATGTAATATAAACTATTAGTTTAGGTTTGATGATATCAATAATTTATGGTAGTAAAATCATTAATTTTGTAATACTATTTGAGCGTTAGGAGGAGATTTTCTAGCAGCAGCTGCAACTTTATTGTAAATTGTGCTTCACATTTTGGAATATATATATAGGTTTGTACCTTGTCCATTCAACAGTTTTTACAGAAGTCAATGTATTACTGCTTTCCGGTCAAATCACTCATTATCAAATTGAAGAGGGTTTAAAAAGAACAAACGTCAGCGAACATTATTTATTACGCATGTTGCATATAGCAAAACAATACGATAAAAGTAAATAAACATTTACAACATTTTAAAATACTAGGCCGACCGTAAATAAAATTTGAAACAGACCGACGCAGGTTGTAGGCACAACTAGCCACATGACACATGACACAACTAGCCAAGTCGGAGAAGGTACAATATTTTATATATTATTCCAATTTCTCAGTCTTGGTGGCAAGAACGTTTAAGTGAAACATTTTTCACATGTCCAAACTTTCACGTCGGCTATATCCTATAAGTTATCACACTAATGTTTGTACACTACAAAATAATCAAAGTGATATCCAACCTCGTCAAACTCGTAAGGCACATCATCCAGAGCAACAACGAAAGCAGATTTCTCAATTGCGTCTAAGCTTGCACGGTTGGTGCCCTTGAAGAAGAACTCGGACCTTGCGTTGGCCCAGGCAGTGCGCTCTCCTGCAGTCAGGGCTGCCAACCTCTCCTCACCGACTGCTGGGGCACTCGTGTCTTGCAGAATGTAATTCATCTGACTGTAAAACAAATGTTTGACTTTATTACATATTTTTACAAAATTTTGATTTCAGTGTCAGTGACCCTTGTGAATGAATTGAAAGTTTCAGTATAAATCTTAACTTAAGAAGGTTTTTATTTGTTCACACCAAAACATCAAACCAAAAAATTGTTGCTGCTTCGCATACCCCTAATATCTACCCTAGTAGTTCAAAATATAAGTGTTAATATATCGAGTTGAATTGGGAACCAATGTTATATCTGTCTACAGCACCAAGGCGTGAACTGCAAAAAAAGTAAGTCTTGTGTTTAGTTTTTTTATATATAGTCGTCAGGAAGATTTATTTGCCTTACATTTCAATCTCACTGGGCAGAAGGATCCTCTTTTTGAAGTAGATGGGCACCTTGAAGTATCTGCCCTTGTGGTAGACCACAATGTGTTTGGAGTCGTTGTAATGCACAATCTTGTCCGTCTCGACCCCGGGAACTCTCGTTGTGTTGAACACTCTCTCGTACTGCCACGAACACAGCGGCACCAGGCCTTGGATCAGGATCTGGCAAACAAATCAAATAAAGATGTAACATAGGGCACAAGGGTTTTTATGATTTTTAGTTAGAATAACAGGCTTACTGAACGGGAAAGAGTCCATAGTGGCACAACGAAAAACAGAACTTCACACTATTTAAAATATTTTCACTGTCACTGACATTTTCAAATAAGGAAGAGAGGAATTTTCTTCAATTCTAATGGCAGCCAGGAAGTTGTTGAAACAGTGTTGCCAATGAGTACAGATTATAATATCACGGTTATAGTTGATCTTGTATACTCTTTAAGTATGTAAGCCTGCTTGCTAGGTTGGATATGAATGGTGATATCTTAGGATTAAGTTTGGGAGTTGCCTTGACTTTTCGAACCATTTGTAAGATCATTCCCATCTTTTCAATTGTGTTGGTTACATTGAGGAAGCACAGATTTCACCAATCTACTCAATCATTCTCTGAAACTGAACCGTAAAAGATTTTATTTCTAACTCAGCGAAGATCCAAAAATCCCTAATCATTTATTTACCAATTTAACTCTTTATATACAAATACACTATTTTAAAATAACAGTGAAACTTACAGGCTCAAGCTCCTGTCGTTCGATCAGCCGTCGGTACTGTAAAGCCGTGTGAATGATGGTAGCTGCTCGTGCTGCCTGGTTGGTGGTGGGATGCATCAAGATGGCGTCAATGCCGTAGAAGTTTGAGTTGACCATCAGTGGGGACCTCCCTCTCAGATACACGTATTCCTCCCACCAATCTGACACATAGTTGCTGGACCACCTGTGCAAGACCACTTGTCATTCAAGAGTTAAGATTAAGTTAATTTTGTTTATTTTTTAACCTTGATCAAAAGTTTATCGAGAAGTTCTCTCAAATGTACGTTTTCTTAAAAACATGCCTTCGTGGTTCAAAAATTAATCGGAATTAAAATTCTACCGTATTTGATGTGATTCCTAATACTAAGTTAAGGTAGGAGAGTGGTACAAGGTGGGACACGGTATATAGTGGGACATTCCATATAACTTTTTTATCTTCAAAGCCATGTGGCCAGTTTCCCTCCAAAAGTGTTAAGTCATGGCCAACAGTGTGTTTTAAGTTAGTTCTGAAGTTTCAGTCATGTTGGAAAGTACTGAATGACAGTCTGCTACAACTATAGTCTCAAAAGTTACATTTTTGAGGTAAGCAATCATCATTTTCTTATGAAATTAGTTTGATAAGCAGGTTAAATTTGATATGCCTAACATTAAAAAACCTTCTTTGTTCAATAGAAGGAGGTCAGGGATGTCTGAGATGCACTGTTTGGGGTAAAACTTAAAAACAATATAACCCTACGTGTGGTACAAGGTGGGACAGTTATTTGTGGTATATAGTGGGACAATGTTAAATAAGGTGGTACAAAGTGGGAAATCGGTACATAGTGGGACAAGCAATTATAATTGATTTATTATACTATTATAGCAATTCATAATAGGCTATAAATACAAGCATACCCATATAAATATATGATATGCCTCATCTGCTTGGTAGGTTACCAAGAATAGGACCTAGGGTTTGTTAAATAAAAAAAGCCCTTAACTTACTTCTCATGGTAAACCCTAACACGGTTTACCCAGAAACACAACCATTGTCATAATTTTGTGTTAGTCCTAGGTATTTTTAAACTGTTTAGTACTTATATTTTCAATTAAACAATTCCTTTCTTCTTTTTTACCTACTTATAACATAAATAGAGTTTTAGCGGGGTCGGTTTTATGCAGAAGTAGACCTACATTTAACTCTTAAAATATAGACACATTCATTCATATCATAGTTATTCATCAAAGAACATTATAGTGAAATTTTACAAAAAAAATTATTTTTTCAGGTCCATAATGCCGAAGATTTGCCGCAAGAAGTTTTTGGAGCATGCAGAAGATGGAGCAATTTTGAGCCTTATAGCCTAGTTTAATTACTAACTATTTACTATAAGTTTTTACAAGTCACATATATCAATAAATATTTTTATTTGTCTGAAACTGTCTTATTTAAGTATACCTCCTATGCATAACAGGATGTCCCACTTTGTACCATTTATTGTCCCACTTTGTACCATATGCTGTCCCACTTTGTACCATATTGCTGTCCCACCTTGTACCAGGGTCGGTACATGTTGGGACAAGTGGTATAAAGCGGGACAAACGGTTTTTGGCCTTTTAAATATAAGTTAATAATTTTGAAAAAAATATCATTAAAAGAGTTTTAAAATTGCTTTATTTTTGTGTAAAGATTGTTCTTCTAAGTCAACTAATATTGAAGAAAAAAATGTTTTAATATTTTCGTCCCAGTATGTACCACTCTCCCCCTTAAATAAAGATAACCGCTAAAAACTCAAGCAATAGAGCATCATGTAAGAAAATGCAGCGAGTCAAGCTTTTATTTTTGAAGTTGCAGAAAATCGTCTGTGAACTTTGCACAGTTGAAAATTTACTGTGATCCCTCTCACTGTCTAGGAAGACATCCTAAATTCTTTGGCAATCGCAGAAAAATTGTGAACCTCTCTCACAGAAGCCGAGACATTTTTTATTGCTTTTCGCGATCACAGCAGGTTTGTAGACTTCTCCCACGATAGCAGAGACATCTTCACTGTCTTTACCGAACAAGGTAAAATGGTAGACCCCTCCTATGGCAGTGGCAGTTTAGGTATCTTCATTGCCTTTTGAGGTCAGGATAAAATTCAGATAAGATCCTTATTATTGTTATCGCATCAATATCAGATGAGACCGACTCCAGTTTGAGTAAACGCCCACAGACAATCACCTTTTATTGTTGTGTGGTAACTAGGCCTATTTAATAAACAAGCGTCAGTTAATCAAGCAGCCAAGACAAAACATCAGGAAATGATATCATACATGTAAACGTTTTCTTGTTCCATTGTTGGCATTAACAGCTGTTTTCATCAAGGCAAACAGTAAATCCTCCTGTTTAGTTTTGCACACCTTGTATTTTAAAATGTACACTGCAAACTTATCTCAAACAAAATGTGAGCAGTTTGCTTCAATTTAATTCCCAATACATTTTTCTTACAGCTATACAAATAGGTGTACACGAACACGATATAATTAAGACATAGGTAATCAAACACATACACATGTCACATACACATACACATAACACATGTCTTCGACTAAATAGAGTTTATTTATACTGCATAAATACAAAAAAAAAAAAAAAAAAAAATGTTATTCAGCTTTTAAATTATTGTGTTTGTCAAGAATTTCAATTTTTTTAAATCATATTAGGGTTTTTGTTTTATTGTAAAGAGTTTTGGGACTTCAAGATGTTTGTGATAACAGGCTAGAGAGATAAGGAGGACACACACACTGACTGATGGAAGTGATAAGAGTTTGGACTTGATTTCCTTTAGTTTAATGAGCTGCAGACAAGCCATGTCAGGCTTTTGCAGCATGGTGAAAAATGATATGTAAAAATGTGTGTTTCAATTTGTTTCAAATAAATAAATAAATAAATAAATAAATAAACATACCATGATTTCAGCATGAGATATCGTTGTAGTTTCACAGCAATCCCATTCTCAAACTCGTTTGCCAATTTCTCCATCCTGGAGTACTGAGCATCGTCCAGCAACGGTCGGACGCTCCGCAGATACTGCAAATCAGTTTTCTAATTACGAATTTTAGTCACGGTTTTAAATCATGTCTCTTTTACAATGTCGAATATGATTATCAATTCAGATGGACCAAAATGATTGTGACAAGTGTAAGCACAATTACCTACATTCTCTAGCACAATTGCCTTAATCAATACCAATGATAATGCCTAGATTGTTTCGTTTATTCTCATGGTCTATTCAATTATCTCAGTTAAAAGTACTTTCGTTCATGGTTACTGTGAAAGATTATTGAAGAAAATTTATTGATAAGATCTATTCAGTGGCGTACTGTCATCCTGGGGCGGCTTAGATGAGAGGGCCTTTTTTACATACATATTTAAACAAGTGAAATAATAAATACCATAGTAGGCCTACCCTGTTTAAAATCATTTTATGTTTAAAATTATTTTATACAGGGTACCATGGTGTTTATTAAAAAAGTAACCCTAAACAGTGATTAGAACTAAAAAGAAATATACGCTTTTAATGTATTTTGTATCACTGATTAAATGAGCTTACTTCAACTATTTTAAATGTAATCTATTTTTGTATTTGCAAAAAATTGAATGATGCTAAATTAAATTTTCCTTTAAGTTTTTAACATTTTCAGTTTTTATGAGTTGGAGATTCAAAATAAGCACGAGCACTCCAAGAAGTAACACAAATCAGGGTTTTTTCTGACACTTCTTTCATTTTTTTTATTTAGGAGATAGGCCTACTATTTTTGTATAAAATACATTCTATAATTATATTACCCTTTCCTTATATTATACATCATATTTTACTATAATTGGTCTAAACCACTTCTGTGATCGGGGCAAAAAAGAACGATATTGTCCTCGGTGAAGACGAAATCGTGAGCATCCGTGTTTGTAGGGCCGTAATCTCCGTCTACCACAGTCGCGCGGCTTATCTCCGAGACCGCGGAGCAATCGTAAACATGTCCTATGTTTACGGTGGAATAGTGAACATCTTTCGCGGACGCAGGGATATATCCTACATGCCGAAATCGTAAACATCTCCGGCGAACGTGTGGACAACATTATCGTCCCCCGCAATCACGGCAAAATCGTGAACACGGAACATCTTTTGCGGTTGCGATACCTTATTATCGTCACCCGCGATCGCTGGGAGTCGTGATTTTCGATCAAGCAATCTTTGCAGACGCTTCCGGTGATTGTAAGAATTCAACAGCAAAATGTATTTTCCAATTTTTGAGACCCAAGTAAGGCCCCTTCCTAGGCCAAGAGGCCCTCGGCAATGGCCGTGTTCGAAGTTATGGGGATACGGGACTGATTTGGGGGCCTCTGTTGGTGTGGGCATGGGGCGGACCCCCCCCCCCCCCCCCCCCCGTCGGTACGCCACTGGATCTATTCCATAAATGTTTATACAAAACCCTATTGGTAATTTATTGAATTTTTAGGGATTTGATTTGATTAGAGACACACAGCGAGACGACACACACACACACATAGACAACACACAAGAGCGATACACTACATACACACACACACAATAGACACAGCAACACAACACACAACACAATACACAGCGAGACAATAGGTGGGAGATAATAACGATAGATCTGAGATCAGGGATTAAAGAAATGATAACATTGGATGTAATAAATGCACATTACAAAATTTATAACAACTTAAGTTTCTACTACTTTTCTAATTTCAATCATGTAGGACAAGCCTTACTATAGTACAATTTAAAATGAATTCATTGCCTAGGTAGCCTAGTGGTTATAGTGCTCCCTATCAAATCTGAAGGCCACTGGTTTAATTGCAAGCGAGATCTTTCCAGACCCAAATTTGTGCTGTCAAATATTTAAGGTCAACGCTAGATGGTAAAAAGACCAGAGTTTGGACCGTTCCCTTAAAAATCTTTTAAAATGCCATGGGCGCAGAAAACACACAAAAACAAACCAAAATTGCTTATTCCATATGTGGTAAATTTGCTAAAAAAACCCCAACATTGAAAAACATAGCCATAACTTGATACAAAAATACATTACTTCAGATAGATTTGTGGTTATGGTAGACTGTTAAGCGCACTGATTGTTAGATATGTGGGACACACGATCCCGATCTTTACAAGCAGGTCCAAATGGTATAAGACAGTCTTAACTATTGAAGCTACCAAGTTCCAATTCTCCACCAGGGTTTACATTAGATCATAAATAACACTGGCATTGCATTATCTTCAATTTACATACAGGATATCCAAAGAAACTGGAGTTTTGAATTGTCGAAGAAGATTTTACAGGTCTTAGCGGTACCATTGTTGTACTAAGTATTGTACTGACCCGATGCATTGTGTCCTTTACAGAGGGTAGAGGTAGCCGAGGCAGAGATCCCTGATAGCTGTATAACATAGGCTTGCTCGCCCCAGACAACAGTTTGACCCCCATCAGCCACATCTTGGTCTTGAGTGAGATGGTCCGGTCCTTGCCTCTCTCTTCATACATCCATCCTGGTACACATACATATACAGTTTAATTTGATTGAGACATGTCCCGACATAGCTTAGTGTTATCACTAGCATTAAATGGGTCCCAAAACTATAAAAACTCCTGATCCTCGAAGATTACATTTATTTTAGGATTTCCTCAAGACACGACTTGTACCAACCGTCAACAATTTCACCGAGTCATGACTGATGATGATGAAATCTCTAAGACCATGGGAGATGTTCACGATATTGTTCCTGATTTTTTCACTATTACAGGTGATGTCCCCACAATCACAGATTATAGTCATCACAACATTGTGATAGGTACAGGTACCCATTACACAACTTTTATGATTACTAAAGCTAATACTGTTTATCTATTGGCAACCATAAGAGGTCCTAAAACCCCATCGTTTTACAAAATGCAATGATAGTCAGCTTAAATACTTATTTGTGATTAGCTAGCCATTTTTTCATAATAAGACTGATGTTCCACAGTTAAACTGGACCAAATATGTGACTGTAATTTTTGACAAACAGTTGATACCTTCTTTTTCTAGTTATCATAATGATGGCTATTTTAACACAAGGTTATTAAAAACTTGCTTCTAGTATTCCTTTTGCCTTTTATATCAAGTTTTCCACATTGTTTAAGGATACAATGTTGAAACTGTCATCTTTATTTAAACATCTACTTTCTTTAGAATATTTTCAACCATTTTAATTTAGGTAGGCCAAAGTTGTTTTCACTGGCCACTGCAGTAATGTGGTTCTGATCAGATTAAATTTATATAGTATGCAAATAAACGTTAGAAGTTGTATAATAAGTTACTGACAATCATATTACAAAACTTTTTCTTTAATACAAGTATATTACCTTTGTACATTAGCAGAAACTTGAGGAGATATCTTATTGCGTAAATGATTCCCAACCAAACGACCAGCGACAGAATCATACACGCCGCCACCTGGTAATTTAGGTTATCTCTGGAAAACAAATTACGAATCAAGTGATTGCAGTAAATCCAGTAGATACAATTAGATTTATTGAAATCCGACTGTTTACTTAGTTTCTACATTGCACTGTAGATATTCTTTGTAATGTTTTGTGATGGTTATACAGTAAATATACTTAGCACTCATGACTGGAATCGAACCAGGTGGATTACAAATCAAAGTTATCGGACAGATTACTCATTTACAAATAAAAATAACCAATAATGAGGATCTTTTAAACCAACTGCATAGAATTTTAACAAAAATACAGTAATGAACATAAATTTAATGAGATGGATGGCAGGAGCTGTTGGGGAGGCTAACAACCTTTTGGGGTTTGAGTGGCCACGTAGGTATGCAACAATGATGTATTCATTATGTACTAATATTATGAAAAAGCGTATGGCGGGTTCATGGTCTTCCTTCAAGTGAACATTGGTCGTAAAATCAAATAGTAACGGATAATTGAGGGTCAGTCCCAACAATTTGTTATTCCAGCCTGATCAGCATGGTTTTACAAGTAGTTTCTGATGATTCTACATTTGGTACAAGGTTCCTTGTCAAAGGGTCTAATGATCAAGTAGCACAAAGATACTCTACCCAGGAACACAGGAGATAAGAAAAATGCAGGAGAAACCCCAGTTCTAATTAGCGTATGTTGCAAAAGACGGTATTGACAACCACACAAAACAAAATCATTGCCAGCAGTGTAACTAGACGGAACTCCCCATTGGAACAGTCGTTTGCCGATTCAATTGGTCAAACACTAACTCTACCCAATAATATTTATGCAAAACATCTTTCCACATATAGACTGAAATCGAATGAATTTATGCTTTGGCAGTACGGAGACGAGTCAGTTAACGTATACTTACTCAGGCAATAATGACAGTATGTAGTTGTACATGGGTAGTTTGACGCCAGCAAAGTGCAGCCCTGCCACCAGCACCATGGTGGCCCATAGACTCTGTAGAGGTGCCGGGAAAATGCCATTCTTTATGTTGTTCTGCAACACAAACATTAACTCTGCATTAGATAAAACAAACATTGTATTACAAGACTGAAGTGAAGTTCCATCACAGTTTGAATACAACAATGTTCATTCGGTTTGCACCAAATCTGTTCCAAATAGTTCAGAAAAAGACATAAATTGACTTTATTTGAAAAAAAAACTTACAATTGTGTTTTATGAACTGTGCAGAACATTTTTCTCAGATTTACAACCTTTTCCAGAGACAGGTTATAAACACATGTAGCAACAAAAAAAGTAAAAAAAAAAGAATATCTAAAGCTAAGAAATTGAATCCAGCTTAAAATCTCGTACATTATTTTACCAGAAACATGGTAAATACCAATTAAAAACCTCAAAACAAACAAGACTTTGTGTAGGCAATTTCCTCTAATTAGGCCTCAAATTATTAATGTTCCAATAATTTTCAAACATTCTGGGTCAACTATATTCTTAGCCACAGCCGACATACTATTTATTATTATGTATATAGGATGGTTAGGGTAATTATTTTTAGAGAGGAGTGTTAAATTCAGTAGCATTTCTAGTGATGGACTTGTATTGGTAAACTTGTATTAGTTTCAATTGCTACTTAATTGCTATTTCTTCTAAAATAATTTTTTTGTTATTTCTTCATTTTGGAATTTTGGAAATAAACTTATTATTTCAAACTACAATTTCAACAACAATATAATTAACAAAGGAGTCCGACAGGTTGACAAATTATTTAATCTGCCGTGTACAAGAATTGGCCAAGTCATAAATTGTGGTGATTTCTGAATTCAGAACAACACAAACAGCTGTTATAATTTCATGGCTGACCCTGGCAATGACTATGAGAACACAATATAAATTCAGAACTAACTACCTAGCGCCATATTTTATGCCACTAGTGGCTATATAATGCCAGGTGATTCGTTTTAGATTAGTCTACTAAACTATATTTTAAAAACTTAATTAGTTGACAAGCTCGATGATAAATTGAAAAAAAATTAAACCTTGGCAAAACCCAGAGATAATATTTCTGAAACTTGACAGTCTGTTCTCATATAACAAATGACAGAGATTAGTATATACACCAGGGCTACCTAACTTTCAACTTAATCAAACTGTGACTTTGCCCTATAGTTATCAGGCAAACAACTTTCTTTCCCTATTTATCAATGACTTCTATTAATCATTTTGTGATAAACAAACAATTACCTAACGATAAAATTTTCAACAACAATAAACTTAATGCTTATTTAAGTCATCGAGAAAAAAACACTTATCATCAAATTTTAACAAGTTATTGTGTAAGGTAATTGAACCATGCAACAAGGTCAACAACAATTCATATAATCAAACATGATTTGCCTGAAAATAACAAAACCTTTGTTAACATAACAGGATGTTTAAACCAGTTGTTCAAAATTTTCAGCGACTTTAGGACAGGATTACAATGTTAAAACGACTTTTGCTACGAATGAGACAATACTTTTCAGTGACTTGAACATGAGATATTCAAGCATGCAATATTTTGTGCTGTAATGATTTGAGCAGGTTGCCTGCATCCAAAATAAGTTCGCTCTCACTGATTCTGCAATGGGAACTAAATCATTGTCTGCAGTAAGCATGGCAAAAACAAAAGTCTGGAGAACTTTATTTAGGTTAGACCTGATTTTCCCGTGACTTTTGGTACCTTAAACTTATAAACGGTTTCTTTTCAATGTCTTCCGTAACCCCTTAGTAAAATCAGTGACTTTTTCATGATTTTTATGACCGCTAAACACCCTGCATTAGCACCAGCTGTTTTTTTTTTTTCTCTCTGAACTATTTCACCAATGACCAATGGGACCAATGGGCGGTGGCGTCGTCCTGTAATCCAGCTACTAGGAGGTCATGAATTGTGGATATTTATAGGCATGCACTGTTGATGTGATACTCCCTGGTGTGGATTAACGTCCGCACTAGTGAGTACTACGACTATCCGCAGTGCTACCCTAATAATTAGATCAATTCGTTAATTACAAGGCAAAAATGTGGTTCGGATTCCACTATAAACTGTAGGTCCTGTAGTTGTCATTCGTTGTATGGGCTATTAATTAACAGTTGTGTCTAAGGAACATGTCGGCCTTAGTCACTAACAAGACTACAAGATCGTGCCACTTATCCTACACTCATCCTTCACTCATATTTGGGTTAAAATATGCTCCTAGTGGCGTAATGATTCATAGAAAAAGAAACTTTACACTTAAATTCACACTATATAGAGGTTAAAAAATATGGTCCCATAAAATATTGAAGTGGAATTAGTAAATGCTTATCAAATTTGAAGAGGTGTCTATAAATAATAAATATAGGCTACAGCATTTAACTTATTTTCCATATGGATAACATGGTAGACAACGAACTGAGTTCAGCATTCCTTAAACCTTATGGCTAAAAAACATGTAATTAAAATGTAACACTACCAAAGTGCTTGTCTTACAATTAGAATGACCAGTACAAAAAATACAATAAATTACAAATCATACCCCGAATTTCGTCTGAATTGGTGAGATGAACAGATCCTTAAAATCACTGTTTCTGAAAAACTCCTGAAAATTCACAAAACAATACATGTTTCTTGATCACACAGACAAGGAATACAGCTGAATGTGCTCCAACAATATGTAAATGAATGTTTGACCCTGGAGGTTGCCCATATCCTATGAGCACTACAAACCCCTAAACGTCATTTGTATTGTAATCATGACACGTAGACCCAGCAACGGTTCTTCAATTGATTGATTCCAAATGCTAAGTTATACACGGGAGTTACGAATCTGAACTACTAGAAAATATTGGAACACTAAATAATGGTCTACAATCTCGAATGGATAAAAAAGTTAGATAAAGAATTGTAAATAAATTAGGTGGATAACTAGTTGATGTTTAAAGAGCAGTTCATTGATAACTTTGGTAAAATATACTACATGATTCATGGTGATTTTTGTTTTAATTTTAATCTGTTGAATACTAAACTATCTGCTGATTTTGTCAAGTTTTCAAGCAATAATGTTTACACAAATTACGTTAAGTGGCTGGAATAGCATTTATATTATAATGATAATTAATTTTGTATAAAGATTTGTTATGTAATGTTTATGTATCTGCTTACATCATGGATGCTATTGTTCTCACCACCCTAACTTGAAGCAGCCCAAACTGAACTGCAGGTACCGGCTGCTCCCGCACGACCCTTTTATAACCTTATTAGAGACGCTTCTGTGAACTCCATAGTTCTTACCGTATTAACATTAATAAAATTCTAATCTGATGTATTAATTTACTCGTTTACGTTAATAACATTGATTTAAAAAACATTTCTGTTTCTGTCCCATCTAAAACGGACATTGTTTGCGATTAATACTTAAGTTACTTGGTATTTTGTTTATAGCACAAAAACAAAAAAATTGCCCCGTTTTGGATGGGACAAAAACAGAAATGTTTGTTAAATTTAAGTTATTAATGTAAACGAGTAAATTAAAAAATCTGATTATAATTTTACTAATGTTAATATTGAACTAGGGTGTCCACAGAAGCGTCCTTAATCAGGTTGTAAAAGCGTCGTGCGAGACCAGCCGGTAATGGCCCTGCAGGTCAGTTTAGGCTGCTTAAAGTTCGGGTGGCGAGGGCTATAGCAAAGTATATTTCAACATAAATTTTAAAATGTAGTAGCCTATACCGAAAAAAAATATCAATACAACAGGATATACAAAACCATAATTTCATTTAAACGCATTTCAAGTTGTCAATTGAATAACTTCTATCATTTAATTTCAAAACAACAGTGTTGACCATTGACATAGTTAAGAAAATTAAACACAAGAAATCTTATCATTCAAACAAAAACTTAAGTTATGATTGAATGAAGAAAGAAAAACTACAACTTCCTAAAACAATTACTACTATCAATTCACTGGTCAATTTAAACCAGGCTAATTTGCTTAAAGGTTATCTTTAACGATAAATAATGATATAACCAAGTCTCTCAATTTGTAAAACTGCTTTTGAGTTTAGCAATGCCTCCGTATAAATATGTGCTGAAATAAATTACAAGTTTTACTACAAATTTTTAAGTATGTAAGTATTTAGGTTATAAACAGCAAAACTATTAAAACTACTTTTTTATCTGGGAGGGAATTTAGGTGTTCATGAGTATATTTACTTTTTTGACTTTAGAAAGGTGTTGTTTTTTTATATTTTTTTACATTACAATTTTACAAATATTCTATATTCTATCAAAAATTGGCTTCCCTGTTGCATTTTACAACCCGAACAAATAACTGTGAATATTTCTTTTCTGTTACTATTTGTATTTTTAAATAATCAAGAAGGATTTGAAAGCTTATGTAATCAAAGATTAGATTTAATTTATTTCAAACTATTAAAATACCAAATCAAACTTATTTTTAAGACTTAAGAAACAATCAAACGAACCACCATAGTTTCAGTAATATATCACAATCACAAGGTACAACTACACTCAGACCATAAGCAGAATACTTAAACTAACACCAACGAATTTCCCTGTAATATTCTAAATGATCATTAGGAACCAAGAGTTCTAGACATCCGTCCAGATGTGGTATTTTCCTCAATTACCCCAAGGACCAGAATCTGGCTGATCATCCTGCTAAACTATATCATCATGTATTATTGAACAAATAAAATAATGGGATTTGCTTAACTGATAAAGATTTAAAGACTCGAGATTTGCTGCTTTTTGAATTTAATAATAAAACGCTGATGTTGGATTGTTAAATTATTGGGTGGAAATCATTGACAACAGAAATAAAATTTGAACCTAGGCCTATTAGACTAAATGCTCAAGTCAACATTCAAATATACATAGGGTTTTAAAATAGGCAGTCAGTGGTTCAAACGCCATTCTAAGGTCATAATTCTAGAACTAAATCTATTGTAGTCAATATACTGATCATAATCTGACATAACATTTCCTTGGGAAAAATCTAGAACTTTTAAAGGTTGCCATAATAGTCTTAAAATATGTAAATATTTCCCTCAAAACAGACAAAATTAAAAGTTTATCTTAGGTTCCCAATAGTCTGTGTAGAATGGATTAAAATTTGGTATAATTCCAGCAACTTTCAGAATGTGGATTTCTAATTTCAGGACAGCAATAATCAAAAATTAATTCTAAAGCATACATTTACAATCTAAACAAAAATTCACAATAACGCTCAAGCATGAATTGGAAATTAAGAAAATTATTAGAAATGATAATTCATTGAAAAAGATTAGCACCTAATTTTCGGTGAAACTCGACTTCAAATTCTCCTATGACCCCACCTCCGAGACTCCAAGAAACAAGCTAAACTACTATAGGTCGGCCGCTTAGAAAACGACCTCCTCCAGCATTGGTTTAGCATTAGCGCGCAGGTCGTTTTCTAAGCGGCCGAACTATACATGTCCTCAGGGTCCTTAACAGCCGTAGTATTCTTTCTTCCATTTCAACTCAGTCAGACTATATATCTCTAGAACCCGTCCCATCCTTACCTACGCTCACCCACTCATCTTGAAATCCCCGTTCATCACATCTTTAGCCTAGAAGCTACTGAAATGTGTTTTACGATTAGCATCCCACCTCCCTCCTTGTACCAAGAAAAGTAATGTCTATGTTCACTCCATACAATCCCTCACAGACTTCCTCAACCGCATCAACCATGTCATCTTAGAGACGCTCCAACAATTACAACCTTACTTCATTAACCACACAACGCTAATAAGAAACAATCATCACTAATCTAACCTCAAAACCAACGTTAACTTCATCAACAGCTGTGACAAGTCACTAATTCATACTAAACGTTGTTTGTAACACACTCAGTGCCTTTCAAGCTCCTAACCTACCAAAAAGCGAAGAGGACAAAGTTCTACAACAACCCCACTGGCACATTGGCTCATCATCCACTGAAACCCTGCGATATCTTGTCTTACTTAACACATATCTAGGCTTACCTTGAACCTAGCGAGCCGCTTCTTCCACGACCTGACACCAGAGTCCCACACCAGATGGAGCACCTCCCTGTCTACATTGACGTCCCAGCCCTCGTGAGTTATGGAGAAGGAGAAGGCTACGGCTGAGTGAGCTTCTGCCATGGCTGTTGATCACTCCACCTACAACACACACAATAATCAAAACATCTGCACTACTTCAAACGGTAATAACATCAATACATTGTAATAGCGAGTGTAGAAACTAATCACGACTTATGATTCATGGCATGGGTCGAACGATCAAATATTGCCTATACTTACGTTTTCGGTCCTATTTTTTTCTAATATTAAGTTTCAATTTAGACCATCATTAGCTCCTTCATACGCTAGGCTGTATCTTGGATGTTTTGGTTAGTTAATATTATGTCTGTACGTAACAATAATTATGTTACGACCAACCAACGCAGCCAAGATACAGTTAAAATGACAAGGAGCTTGCAGTGGCCTAAAGGTTGAAACGTTTACTTTGAACAAAAATAAGATTGATGATTTAAGTAAATACAACTAGTTAACCGCCCGTGCTCCGCCACGGGAATATTGTCAGCAATAAAAGAAATAATAATTAACAAATACTGTTTATCTTTGTATTTTATTTAGGGGTTGTTTAATTTTTTACATGAAATAGAACTGATAGTTTGCCTGTATAAACTATTTTATGTTAATCAAACCGATATATTATTTTAACCAAATGAATGTTTTATATTAATTCGAGTTTCATTTGAAAAATAAATAGTATACGAACTGGGCAATGCTGATAACCTAATAAGCAGCTATTTATGATATTTAGATAATTTGCTCAAGTATATTCCTATATTCGTCGTTTTTTTTCATTACATTTGTTGTATGGAATAAAGATAGTCACTTAGCCTACATGTAAATCACGCATCAGCAGTTGGTCGCATTTCACGAATCTTTGACCCATACTGTGAGTAAAAGCTGTGTTTACGTCATATATATAAAGTTGGGCATACTTTGTTCAATGTTAGAGGGTATTAACGGTCCAATTTGATGGAAAAGGAGTAATGGATTTTAAAACTATGTAGACTACCACTACCAGAAAGATGTTGATTCAAGTGAGACTTAGAACTGGCCATTTCAAATGCAGATTTGTATTATATTTTACTCAAATAGTTTTTTGTCTCTTTTGACCCTTAATAGTTTTTTATAGTCGCTGTTGATAAGATTTTCCATAAACTCAAAATGTTGATAAGGAGTTCATTTTACCTTCCCCTTGTGACAATATAAGGAAAAAATATTTGTGTCCCAGTTAGTCTGTTCTGACTCAAAATTCATAGATTTGCAGTACTGACAAATCCAATCAAACAACCCCAATTAAAAAAAAATTTGTATTTTTTAGAAGGGACTTCCAGAGCACATTTAACACCATCACTGCTCTTTACCTTTTTAGTTCGATGGTTCTCTACATGTTTTTTTTTCGTTCTGTATGTCTCTTTACGCCCGGTTAATGATTACGACAAATCCAATCTAACGACCCCAATTCATAAAAATTGGTATTTTTTTTAAGTGACTTCCAGAGCACATTTAACACCATCACTGCTCTTTACCTTTTTAGTTCGATGGTTCTCTACATGTTTTTTCGTTCTGTATGTATCTTTGCGCCCGTTTAATGATTAGCCTACCTTTTCTTCTTTTTTTTGTACTTTTCACATCATGGGGTTAATGATAAAGTTTTATAACGCTATAATGACCCGAGTCAACATTGCCATTAAACATCAAGTCAGATACTTCTTCGCCAGAACCGAAATCGTAAGTCACAGTTTCTCAAGCAACTTCCCTGTGTAGGCCTACTCGATAAAATATAGTTAGGTTCACTGATAAATTGTAGTTCCAAATATTCCAGCGTACTCGCCATCTCGAGAAGGTAAAATTTGGACGTCGAACACTGATCTTGAGTAAGATTAATCACTTACGATAAAATGTTTGTATGTTTACCAATCATTAGCAATTATCTGTTCAACTTGCAAGCGGATTTCCCTATGATTGTTCTGGTGCCTATAGAGAATAAATTATATTGATCAAAACAATAAGTTTCCGTCCCCTACTATGGGTATTATTTCACATTCCATACTCAAACTTAAACTCAATTACCACTTTCCTTCAGATCACTTTGCAGGAAAACTAAAACATTTCAAAAATAAGTTAACAAATACACTTTCCTTGATCAAAATCGTGTGTTTATAAACAGAAACTCCAAGTTTAATAATTGCATACTGAAAGTGAGGTTATAAAAATAATAACAAATGTCTGACAAACATTAAACAGCTGACGAATAATTTATAAACTGTGTATTATATTCTTCAATAAGAATTGTATTGACTCGACCTTTAAAGGGCTGTAGGTCGTAGCCCATAGAAAAAACGTAAATTCTAAGGAAGTTCGGCAAATCTACACACTATCCCCTTTAATTTGAGACATAAATCTTGTAGATCGGTCCAGTAATTACTGAGAAAACAGTGTTACAACTGTGTATTAAATATATAGATATAGAAAATATTTTTAAAAGGGGCTAGGAGAGCAATAATTTGTTATCAAATAATTATGTTGGTAAATTATTTGCTAAATAGCTGTGGTGGCAGAATATGTTGTAAAATAGTTACAAAGGCCAAATGGGGGGGGGGTAAAAAACACCCCACAGTTTTGAAAGGGTGAAATGCATTATTTATTACAAGTATAATCACATGGATAAAAAAACCAGTCAATATCTTTGGGTACTGTAATAATTTAGAAAATGGTAAATATTCTACAATTGGGCCTCATGATGTCCAGAGTGACTAGTGAGGAGTCAAAATCAATAGCCATTCAACATCATTCGTCAACATCAATCAACAACAACAACATCATTTTTATATCTTACAAGCTGAAGCGGTACTGTATTGTTTAGTATGTCAGAACAATCCCCTTACAGTTGAAGTAACAATTGCCTTTTTAATTAAATAAATACAATTACGGTACTACAAAAGAGAGACCTTGTACACAGTTAATGTACCATGTCCCCCTTCAGATAAGACAGTGTTAATTAACAGTTCAGCTAATCAAATTTGATTGGACTGACGAACATGAACACCACCTGTGTTGGCATTGACACCACTTCCTGTGATCGTTTTGTTTTTTTTTTCAAAGAGTATACATATATTGTAAGAGAAATGTTACAACTAATCCACTTATTTAGTATAGCCGGATGTGGACTTACAGCATTAGGTTCGTTACTTTCTACACAAAAAATGTTGCTTTGTTTAAATTCAAAAGCATACAAAAGGAAATAAAAAAAGTCGTCAGATTTAATAAGACATAACCCAGCAATCTAAATTAAATAAAATTATTCGGACAGTAAATGATGTCCATAAAGAAAGGTGGGAGGGAAAGTATTGCATAAAAACCCTAAGTGTTTTTGTAAGGCCATCGTTTTGAAATTAGTGTTTTATTTTCAAAACAATTTGAATTGTATAAGATTATTAATGTGTAACTAAACACAAGTCAACAAAAGTATTTTGGGATACAACTCATCCCCTCTAACACAGACGTTTATAAATTTCAAGCCCCCCAATAATGAAATTAACTGAGCCGAGAACTAAAGTTTACTAAGGAAAAACGTTTACAAACATATTCTATACATTTATTTTACAGTACAAAGAATGTGCTTGAAAATCATTTGTTAACGACTTATTAATGTATGGAAGTGAAAGTGGGTCCACTAATAGAACGAAGTTGAAATATTCGAGCGCCAGCTCACTTTCACATTCTCTGAACATTTGATTTCTTCCTCAGTGGCTGAGACTGACCACTCAAGAAAAAATCCCTCGCTGGTAAAAAAATAGTTTTTATCCCAATCACAATCTAAAATAATCCCATTACCGCACATTCCGATGTAAAAACCTTCCCAACTTTAAAAATCCGAAGTATTTAATCAGATATTACAAATTTACAAGATAAGAAACCCAAGCCTTATTTTTGTGCATTGAATCATTTCTAATCCCATTTTATCCCGTTCCGAAACAAAATATCCCACGTCGGGATAAAATTACCACTTATCAGTCCCCGTACTCTATGCGAAGGAAGAGAGAGACTAGAGAGAGGGAGAGACACAGAGACAGAGAGGAATCTTGACGTTGCAATTCATTACGTCACGACGCCGTTTCAAGGTCAATTCAATGTAAACACTGTCAAATCGAATCTCCTCGTATTAAATCGCGAGCCACGTTACAAGGACGAAGGTGGTTCTCACAAACCGGCTCATTTCCTTCTCTTTCAATGACGTTTTGTTTCCTCAATTGCCGCCCAGCCGGCTTCCACCATTTCAATGCTTAGAATACCCAATTATTTCTGTCCAAGTACATTTTTGTTCAGGAAAGACATATTTATTGAAACAATTAAGAGAGAAACGAAATTCAATGTTGGTTTTGATTGGATTGTATAGTTTTCTACAACTTAATCGTAAACTCATATGCACAAATCCAATTTAAAAAAATACAAGATTGAAAAACAAATTTTCCATATTAACTCAAAGAAAAAGCTTGTGTCATTTTGTTTTATGGGTTAATACGTAGTGTGACTAATACAAGTTATTCTTCCTTACAGTCAAAATGGCCTTTAATCTACTAACAGTAGTGTACCGGTAGTTGTTTTATTTCTTGAGCAAGTGAAGTTATGTCTTAACATAACTAGCCTATGTAGGCTTTCTGGCGTTTTTGCTTAGGTCAGGTCAGGTTGGATTATGTATTCCGTACGTGTTTTATATAGGCCTACACGTATTGCATATTTTCACCGATTAACGTAGTTACCGTACACGACAACTATTCAAATTTCAAAATAAAAAAAAAGATATTGGTCCCAAAGATTTTAAGCCTGTCACATTAACAAATCAAATACTCTTCGATAGGTAGTGAAGTTACGTCGTGTGGATAAAATTAAACCGTAAACAGAACCAAAATAGCCGATTTCTATTTAAGACCGGTCTTCAACGCAGGCTATCCTAGCCTCTTGATACCAAGGTCAATTGCCTCGCTTTATCGTCTGTTGTCTACTGCCACTTTTTGTCCTAATTGAAATTTTTACACTTAAAAACGTGACAGCTGCCACAATTGATATTTAGTGTTTTTATT